GGGTGGCAAGAATGAGTTACCTTGGAAAATTACTTACCCTTTGCTGGCAGATCCATTTTATTTCAATGTTAAATCCTACATCTTCTGGCAAAGACTCTAAAACCTAAATTGTGTGTATTGGTGGGAATGGATTAGGAAGAAGAGAACACAGAATTATTATTAACATTTTCAGTCATTAAGGAAGGTATCATCAGTGAAGAAAAAGGGTTTGTGCCTTATGCTTTCTCATAGACCAAATACATTGGCTGACAATTATGTTAAATAAGAGAGTCAAAAGTAAAACAAGGCAGCATCTGTGCTGAAGGGTTACAACCACCACCACGAAGGATCTGACCACCCGAAAGCCTCTTCACATGAACAATGAGCACGGAAACCCAGCTGTAACGAGACAGGCAACCACATGTTCTCTGAACTGCACTCCGCTAGTCGGGCTTCTAAGGTAATGGTTACATAATGCTCAACCAATGAATGAAGCGCTTGTAATCTCTCCTGTTGTTTTTGAGTGCTGTCAAATCAATTGTGACCAACAGCAATCCACCATGATACAAGAAACCTGCCCCGTGGCCTGTCCTCGACTGCAATCATTATGGAAACATGCTGCCATGTCTTTACTCAGTAGCACACAGCTGACGTTGGCTTGATGGCACAGCACAATGACCACCACCACAGAGCTGGTAGTCAGTCTGGTGTCCTACGGTCCAGTCCAGCATTGACCCTAGAGAGCTGACTGCAAAGTACAGCTTCTTAATACAGTTTAGACTCAATTTTGTGTGGGCCTGACTTCTTTTTGTATGTTTTTGGTCTTATTTACTGTGGCTATTAAGTAACATGATAAAGGGTGCAAAGATTGAAGTTGTAAAGATTTCGTCTTGTTTGGATCCATAATCGATGCTCATGGAAGAAACAGTCAAAAGATTAAGAGATGCATGCATTGAGAAAATCTGCTGCACAAGATCACTTTAAGGCAGTGGTTCTCAACCTTCCTAATGCTGCGGTCTTTTAAAACAGTTTCTCATGTTGTGGCGACCCCTCAACCATTAAATTATTTTTGTTGCTACTTCATCACTGTCATTTTGCTATTGTTATGAATTGGGCAACCCCTGTGAAAGGGTCATTCGACCTCCAAAGGGATCGCAACCCACTGCTTTAAGGTATTGAAAAGTAAGAAGATTACTTTGAGGACTAAGATGTGCCTGACCCAAGCCATGGTGCTTCCAATGGCCTCATCTGCATGTGCAAGTCAAACACTGAATGAGGAAGACGAAAGAAGAAGTGATGCATTTGAATTACGGTGCTGGCAAGTATATCAAAAGTCCCACGGACTGCAAAAAGGACAAACAGGTCTGTCTTGGAAAAAGTACAGCCAGAATGTTCCTTAGAAGCAAGGATGGGGAGTCCTCATCTCATGTACTTTGCACATGTTGTCAAGGAAGACCCATCCTTACATAAGACATCACAGTGGTAGAGGGGGAGTGAAAAAGAGTAAGCCCCTTGGTGAGATGGTTTGGCACCGTGGCTGTAACAATGGGCTCAAAGATAAGAACATTGTAAGGATGGTGCAGGACCGGGCCAGGGTTTTGTTCCATAGAAGTTGGAAAGGTGCCAAACAACAACATCATAAAGCAACACAATTTGGAAAAAGAAAAAAAGTGCATGTATCAGAGCTTATCTGATTAAATACTGAGTTTGGAGCATGGTGATTCTTTATATTGAAACTGTATTCTGCCATTTAGGTGTTTCTCTTGGGGTGGGATGTTAAAATTTCTCTGTGATTAAAATGTTGATGATCCTAAAGTAAATGAGTGAATGAGTGCCAGTGTGTGTAAGTTATTTGGTTAAATAAGATCTGCCAACTCTTTTATAAATACCGAGTTGCTGTTGTTGCTCTGTGAAACCAAGTAGCCCAGATGTGCCACACAAGAAAGTGTCTTTTCTAAGAAGCACCACTGACTGACGCTGCTCTTCAGTACATTCGTGCTGTAGAGGCCACTTTGAGGCAGAAGGAACTGGACAGCAAAAAGTTTGCTATGAGACTAAACATAAGTTATTTGGGCAAACAGAATAAATAGAATAGCCCTTGCCTTGATTTTTTTGTAAGGCACTTACCATCTTAAGAGAAGGAAATGGCTGGTTTTCAGAGAATACATTTTCTTCCTCAACTACAGATTCTGAAATATTAAATGACAGGAACTTGTGAGTAAATAATAGCAGGCTATTCACTAAAATCTTTCCTAAATTCTTAGAGCAAAAGAAAAACAAAGCTAAAGGCATTAGGAAATCCTTCTGGGTACAGTGTTTGTCCACATTTGCTATTTTTAAGCATTCAGACTCCATTTTCTATATCAGCACCTTTTATGAAACTCGTTTGCAGAACTGAATATAAGCACCACCACTGGTGGCCTCAGCAGTGATAGTGGCTCACAAAGGTAGGTAAAATGAATTTAAACACTGATGATGGGGGATACTACTAGAGTCACGAAAGATCTATAGCCCTATGAAGTCATTTGTTAAACCACGCCCCGTTCATACTGTGGGAATACGTCTCTCTTCCAAGTGTCTAGCACCTCACATTCCTTCACGGAGGTGTTCGTGCTGTACCACGATCACAAGTGCAGACAAACATGTGGAGGACCTTCTGTATGCAGAGGACTGTAAGAGACTCAGGGAACATAGTGTCCTTGTCCTCCAGAAGCTGAATATCTAGTGGGAGAGACAGGACACCTACCACAATAAGCCTCAAATATGTAGTATTGCCCAATATGTAGTATTACCACAATAAGCCTCAAATATCTAGTATTGCCCACTTGAGTATCAGTAAAGTGAAATCATAAAATGATGTAATAGGCAGGGCAAGCTTACCATGGAAATTAATGTATGTAAAGCTTTCCACTTCTAAAAAATGACATTTAAATATGCCAATACCGAATTCGCTAAAACAGAGAAGGAGATACCATACTAACAATAACAAAATTAAAAGTGTTGCCAAACTGGTACCTACCTTTCCGATCTTTAGATTTGAGTGCAGTCACATGAGCAAGCTGGAAAACAAAGACACAAAACATAATCAGAAAAAAACAAGCCCTGCTATATGAAGATACTGTAACTTGACAAGCTAGTGAGTAAGAAAAGACCATAATGCATACACGTATCAGCTTCATAAGAACAAGCACTGCCACGAAGGCTGGAGGAACCCCGAAACTCCTGCCCTGAGACAATCTTTACACTTTCAACCCAAATTACCCCGAGTCTTCCTAAACCCAAACCACAGTTTAGCTTACCCGGCAGAAAACACTGAGCAGTGTGCCCCCTTTAGGAACTGTCTAGGATCAACCAGACAGCAGTAACTCACGAGACCGCCTGAAACTCAGGAGGCGGGAGCTTGTTACTGGAGGGAGAATGGCTACGCAACGTGGAGCATGCACACCAGTGCCACTGAATCGGTGTGCACTACATGATGGTGTGCCAGTAACCACGGGAACACAGAGATAGTATTATATATTGTGCGTGTGGATACACAGATCATCACCAAATGCCAAGTATAGACGTAGAACCTAAAACCTTCAGTCAGGAATCTGTTTACACTTACATAATCGACCATTTCCCTGGTATCTGATGGGAGTGGGAAGAACTACTCCAAATAGCATGGCTCAACAACATAAACAGAGATCTTAGAAATTGATACAAACCAACTCTCACATAACAGGCCAAGATTATTGTAAAACAGTAAGTTGCGTGGAAAGGCAGACCAAACGCCAACCCAAATGGTGAGAAGGGCTACTTCCTTTGAGCTCCAAAGACCTCTGACCTCACCTCTCCACTGATCCAAAACTCAACAGGGCTTTAGGAAAACTGTTAGGAGAGCAGATGGATCAGCCAAAGTCAATTTTTGAACTTTATCCAACAGAAGACCAAAGTTTATACACTCTGGATGTGGACTATAGAGAGGCATTCCCACGTGCCTGTAGGGCGGTATAAGAAAGATAAAGGACAGGTCACATTCCATGAGACTATTACTACCTTCAATAACTGGAGTTGGTCAAATGTTAACTCCTTTACTGGAATTTCAAATAATTCAGCTGGATCAGCATCAAATTTCTAAAAAACAAAACAAAACAAAAAAGTATAAAACTGACACTTAAATTGTTACCCAAATGTTAGATGTTAACTCCAATGCCTCAGCTGACTGACCAATAACAGTGCCATGTGGCCATAAAGGAGCCCATGCAGGGATGCCCTCCTAACTAACATCCCCCCTACCCCCCACGCCTCTTCTGTTCGGGTTCTGTTTCGAAGGGACATGGAGCGGGGCTTGGCAGAAAGAGCACAGCTGGGAGGACGTGGTGGCACTGAGGACACCACAGTCAAAAGCCAGTCACCCCTCTATTCCCTGTTGTTCTGCACACGTTGTACCTGATGCATACATGCGTGTTAAAAAACGCTAGAAAATGAACATGTTAAGTACTATGTGAGATTTGTTAATGGGTTTTTAAGCTTTTCTCTGACATTAAAAACCACTAGAAAAAGCCATTGTGTCCGAAAAATTAATAATTATCTGATAAATTAAAATGTTAACAGCTCTAAGTACTAATATTTAGCAAGAACTCTGCTCTTCTGTTACACTTTAATGCCAGATCGATTGTCACACTACACGTCTACCCTAAGGACATGCTTTAATGTACCACCAAAATTCAACAACCCAACAAAGTCTCCATGTGTACATAATGGGAGCCTGTATATACATAAAGTACAAGGGGGGCTCATTATATTTTCATTTCCTTTTTCCACAGAATTATTGAAGCCCCTCATATTTCTGGAGTATGGAAGAATATGGAATAAGGAAGAAATTACCAAGAGTAAGGGTGAGACAAGGAGAAAAGGGAAAGGCAGACTTATTTTTTCACTTCATAAACTTCTGAACTACTTGCATTTTTAACAGTAAACATGAATTGTATATATATAAAGAAAACACTAGCTTAATTAAAACTCAAACAGAAAACATGTACAAGTCATTACTTTGTTACCCAATTAACTCATCCAAGTTCAAGTTCAGAGCAAGTCAGTCTGGTAAAAACTGGGGATGAGTAAGTAATCCTCTTCAATTAATCTCTCATAGATCTTTAGAAATAAGTTACAGATAGATTCATTAATCTCCATCTTAGTTATTTAAATGCATTAGCTTGCCATTTCTTCTCATTTCACCTCGTATTAACATCCCCCCACAGCAAAACCGACCTGCTCCGTATCTGTTACCTTACTCTACATCTGTCACTGGAATAGATGCCCTCCTACTTCCCTCTTGTTATATCACCTCACAGAAACAGAAGGTCTCTTTTCTGCACATCACAGTAATCGAACCTCCCCAGACTCAGACTGAAATCCGCTAGCAGGCTGAACTGTGTGCCTGATCAGAGTCTCGTATACTCCTCCAGCAGGCAGTGTCTACTAAGTGGTCTTATTCAAACCCACTCCACCGAAAAAGCACACCTAGCAGTTTAAAAGATAATGTCAAGTGAACCCTCACAGTGTAAGTCCCTGAGGAATCACTTGATAATGTGAATACTGAGGTTCAGAGCCTACTTAACTGTCACAAGTAAGCCCGTATATCCAGATATATATATACATATATGCATACATATTTGTCATTGAATATATCTCAAACATCCATCGTGTCCTCCTCTCCATTCTCATCTCATCATCTTTATGCCAGCTTGGATTTACTTACCTTTGGCTCACACTAGATCAGCTATCAAAATAGTCATCTTAAAGTTTTGCTGTTGTCTTTTTACATTAAGAAAAAAATGTTTTGCTAAATTCCTTACAGAGTTAATAAAGAGAGGTGGATCATAAAACAGTGGAGGACCATGCCACTAAAACCCCAAATGCATTCAACATTTTACAAAGTAAGCGATAAAAGGACAGTATGCCAGCCTCGAGTAGCACTTCGGTGGTATAAACATCCTACTGTCCCAGCAGTGAGCAGAAAAGATGAGCCACAAGTGGAAAGTGATTTGCAAAGAATGAACCTGAGCTTAGGGACTGCTTTTTTCAGTAAGCCACAGACCCTTCCCCTGGTGTGTACACTTGCTATGGGAGAGAGAGGAGTCTTTCTACTCCTGGAAAGAGCTACAGTTTCTGAAACCCACAGGGGCAGCTCTACCTTGACCTATTGGCTCGGTTGCTGAGTTGGAATCCACTTGATGGCAGGAAGTTGGGTTTGGGGAGCTGCTTTTGATGAGGCCGCCCTGTGTGCATGCATTGCTTCCTTTATCTTTTATGGCAGCAGGGTGGTGGGCCAGAGGTTCTGACGCTTCACAACTGGACAACTGTGACATCTAGATGATTTCAGAGCCAGGAAGATGAGACTGCTCTGGCCTGGGAGAACCAGAATCCTGATGCTGCCGTCACTGGGATGGTAGTGAAATTCACAAAAATCCTTGCTGCACCGAGGTTACAGGATACTGTCCTCCCAGAAGCCCATCACCGCGGGCCACTGGTAGTTTATCACCAAACGCACTTGGTCTAACCGAGGGGTCACATGATATATACACTGGCTGCTCTCTAGAACAAGCCAAATCAAAGAACAAGGGAGAGGCAACTCTGCTAATGCCAGCAAGCCCATCACAGGGTCTGAACTCAAGATGGCAGGGAACAGGAAGTCATCGCCCCTTGGGGTTTAGTTCTGAGCATCTCCTTCTATGTCTGCCATCTCGCCCTGGCTCCCAAGTCTAAACTCCTTACCTCCTCCACACTATGTGGAACCAAGCGCCCTTTTTCTAGTTCTAGGTTTTGTTTGTTTACTGTGGCTCTTCTTACGTCATATGGCTTTGCAATTAGAAGAAAAAGCAGAAATAGATGGGCAACTAAAAAAAATCAAATTAACACTACGCTATCCCTCCTCTCCTGTCACAAATAAGTGACTGTGGCCAACAGATATAAAGCACTGGAAATGTCACTTTAGTAGATAGTAAATTATTATAATAAAAAGATGCCAATTTAGTAAAGACCCTATTCAAGGAAAGTAATATTCCTATCTTATCACTGTTTTGATGTAGGGGCTTTAGAGAGAAAAGACTGGCAGTAATTCGTCAACTAAGTTACTTATGTAGCAAAGTGACAGACTAGTTAACAAATAATTAAAAATACAATGTTTCTAATATTTCGTCCTCTGATGCATCAAGAAGAGTTTCAACATACCTTTTTCATAGTCAAACAACAGGTGAGATCATGATAGACGACAGGCACAAAATCCTTTGAAAGATGTACATCAAATTCTACAAAGGCTGCACCCTGAAGGAAATAATGGAATAAGTTCTGAAGAAAGGAAGGTTCACAAAACAACATCTACAAGAAATGTATGCCCCCCTCTATAAAGTTATAAACCTACAAAGGAAACCATAAAACTTCCTTCCATGTTTCAACTTTTTCTAAAACATTTCTTCTCTTAAGACAATTACGACGATTTTACCTTTTATTCCTCTCTGGCACAAGCAAAGTAATTGTTGTTCCCTGCCAGAGACTGAGCCCTGATCCACTTGCAACACCTGGGGCACCTCGGCTGCATTGAGGCAGCCTTCCCTGGTGCCCCAGCTGCTACAGCTACTGCTGTTGGCAGAGCAGGAGCCCAGCAGGAGCCTGGGGCCCAGGGTTTCCCCGCATGCCACAGCAGCCTCTCAGAGGGGAGATGGGGGTGCTATGCTGCAGAGCCTCTTCAGTAAGCTCCCTGATGGCCCGGAGCAGCAGGCTAGCCTTGCTTGGCAAAACCTCAGGATAAGAGACCTGAGGTGACCAGATTTTAACACTGGTAAAGGGGGACAAAAGCGGGACACCATTGATAAAACGCATATCCTGGCAAAATAGCCACATGGCAGCCGAAAACCGTATACCCTAGCTCGTCGTGCCTTCTTTCCAAAAATTGGGACTTGTTAAAAACGCCAAGGGACGTGGGAAAAATTGTTAAAAAGCGGGATGTCTGGTCACCTTACACTAGAGGGAAATAGTAACTGAGGCTCGAGAGAGAGAACAGAAAAAGGCAACGTGATGACAAATTTCCTGACAAAGGCGTATAGAGGATAACAAGACCAAGAATTAGGCTAAGGATGTACTTCGAGTCGTCTGATCCAGAGGGAGAAGGAATCCAAATAAAGGAAGACGACAGATACTGGCGTACAAACGTGTGTTCATGGACAGAACGCCAGCAGGAATCAATGTCTGAGGGTTCTGCAAACTTATCGGCTGAGACCCACAAATGTGCTGAACAAGAATAGACACGTTTTCCTGCTCCACCCTCTAGCCCCTGTCCTGGAAGGTCAGCCAACCTGCAAATGCACATGGGTACCAGATAAAACCATAGGAGTTGGAGGTTTTAAAGTTACCCCCTTGATGACTTCCAATGCAGGCAGTTTAGCTCCTTGTATTACTTTAAAACATGACAGTATCACAAATCAATCCTTTCAACGGGAACAAACTCTATTGTCCTGAAATAGTTACAACTATTAAAGAGCTTAAATCGAATCTTTCTAAATATTTTATTTGCATAATTGTCTATCAAATCTTGATGCCAAAATTCATGTGAGTTTTAAGAAATCTTCCAGTAACAGAATTAAAACCTGTTCACATGCTTTTAAGATTTAAGATAAGTAATTAAAATAAAGTATTCTAAATTATGGATTACGAAGGGTTTCAAGTAGGTAGGTTTACTGAAATCCTCTCTCAAAAGCAAGGGACCCTGAACATTTATCTCATCGCACGTTTACAGTTAACAAGTTATTTTGGCTGGGGGGGAAGGGACAGTTATGATGAAACTAAACTGGTTCAAAACTGCCAGCAAATGGATAGATTAATATTATCCTTTCAACACAAAAAGACCAAACTCTCCATTATTCACATTAGTACTTTGAAGCATTAAAGTAAGAAGCCATCTCGTCAATCTAACATGGCATGAAATATAAAATGTATTCTTTAGGTAACACCACAAGGGGGGGAATGCTGCCATTCAGAAAGCTGTAAATGATTGTACAACTGTTAAGAGGACTGAAATATTGAATATGATTTGCAAATTATATGCCAGTAAAACTATGAAATTGTACAATAAGGAAATTAATTTTAAAAGTTGTAAAACCCACTTCAATCTCAGAGACATTAAACTAACGTAAGAATGAAGCCTATCGCTTGGATGAATGAGGAACCATGGTGGCATGGTGGTGGCTTGTTGCGCTGCTCACTGCAGCCAGCGGTGTGAGACGGGCTGTCTACTCCTGCAAACAAAGTTGCCGTCTCAGAAACTCACAGGGCCAGTGCTCCCTTATCCTGTACGGTTGCTATAAGTTGGCAGTGAAGGTTTTGTTGTTTTTTAATGATTAGGTAGTGTTTTCCTATAAAAGTAATCAAGTTAACCGCCTCACTAATTAAGTTTACCTGATTTTAAACCGTTTTAAAAAGGCACACGTTTAAAAAAAAAAAAGGCACACATTAAGGCCTATGCAGGATGCAATGGAAAAAAGAAATAATTTTCTTAAAGTAGGTTTCCTAGTCAGGCATAGAATAATATGAGCAAAAACTCAGGTTCTTGATTTAAAATGCCAAGTTGCAGTTTCTGTACAAACAGATTCATTCCTGATTAGGTTAAAAAAAAGGAATATTTTTGTTTTTAAAAATAAATTTAACATAATTAGGCTAATGTTTTTAAAACTGTTGCATAGAATAATCTGCACATCCTTATATAACCGAAGTGAGTATCTGAATAAGTACATTATTCCATTAATAAACACCAGTGCTGAACGGGGGAATTCTGTTTCCTGATCATTAAAAACTGGTTACCTGAACGAACCGTGATTCGGAAACTATTGCTTTCACCCAAATCTTAATCCAGTGATCCTTCATCTTCTCTTAGAAACATGTTGCCTAGCCCCATATAGTTCTCTTTTAAACCTATCAATTTACACTGTAGGGGGAGCCCTAGACCCACATTTCGTACTGCAACGTCCCAAAGTTAATTAAATTATAGCAGTGGGTCTCTACCTTCCGAATGCTGTGACCCTTTAATACAGTTCCACATGTGGTGGTGACCCCCCAACCATAACATTATCTTCATTGCTACTTCATAACTGTAATTTTGCTACTGTTATGAATCGGGCGACCCCTGCGAAAGGGTCATTCAACCCCCTGAGAACCGCTGAGTTATAGAGGTTCACTTACATGACTAGCAGCATTTCTTAAAGATGCAACAGTATTTTCTTGAACTTTAGCAAGTCTGAAATAAATAAGAAATACTGTTATATACTATAGGAATTATGAAATCAATTTTATGAAGATGGTAATTGTTCTTTTTCAAAAATGAAAATCGCATCTGTCCTCTAATGAGGTTAATTTTGTCAACTCTAAATAACACGGAGGAGCCTGGTAGTGTAGAGGTAGGAGCTGGAGTGCTAAGTGAAAGGTCAGCAGTTTGAAACCACCAGCCGCCCCGAGGGAGAAAGGCTGGATGTTCTACTATAGTGTTCCATTACTGTCTCACAAACTCACAGGGGCAATTTTACTGTCCTATAGGGTTCCTCGGGTCACCATCAACTTGATGGCAGTGAGTTTGATTTGAGATATAAGACAGTGATCATTACTTAGCTGATATGAGTATATATGAATATCTTTTACATTGATGTAAACTAACAGCTATTGTATTTTCAAGCTGAATATAGGGCACATTCAATACCACAATAATGGGAACTTGCCTTCCTTGTAATAATAGTCCGATCACTGCTTTTTTTCTTGAAGACTAGTAAGATATGGTACATAGGCCAATTAAAGAACACAATCCCCTTTAATTGCAGGAAGGGGTAGAGACATAGAAACGTGTTCCTTGCAATGAGATCTCCAGATAATATTTTTTTTAATTGGAGGACTCTTTTTTTAAATTTTATTTATTTATTTTTTACATTTTATTGGGCTCATACAACTGTTATCGCATTCCATACACACATCAATTGTGTAAAGCGCATTTATACATCGTTTCTCAAAATATTTTCTCTCCACTTAAACCCCCGACATCAGGTCCTCATTTTTCCCCTCCCTCCCCGCTCCCCCCTCCCGCATGAGCCCTCGATAGTTTATAAATGGGTATTTTGTCATATCTTGCCTTGTCTGACATCTCCCTTCATCCACTCTTTGGTTGTCTGTCCCCCAGGGAGGAGGTCACACACAGTTCCATGTAATCGGTTCCCTCTTTCCTACACATTCTCCCTTTACCCTCCCTGTTTTGCCACTCACACCACTGGTCCTATAGGGCTCATCCGTCCTGGATTCCCTGTATTTTCAGTTCTTATCTGTACCAGGGTACCAATTGGAGGACTCTTACAAATCTTATAACAACCCACCATTCAATGGTATTAAGCACACTTGTACAGATGTGCCATCAACGTTTCCAAAACACTTTCTTTCTACTGGGGCCCTTGGAATCAGTGCCTCTTTTTTTCACCAAGTAACTTCTAACTGGCAGGCTCTGGTGAAAGGATGGGAGAAGACAGATGCCCCAACAGGTAGCTGTTTGAAAATGATATTGACTAGAGATAAAAAGCCACAGTGTTCGATAAGATGAAGCTGTACAGTACTTCTTCCTTAAACAGTGACATGCTTTATACTCCATAAGAAAGACTTATTGATCTCTACAGAAAATTATATAATAGTATCACTTCGAAAAATAGAGAGAGGAGAGGTAAAATTTACAGCACAAAAGTTGTCCAAATGAGCTACAATGCTGGTAAACTGTTTCCCTTACAAATTTACAGAGCTAGGTAGGAGATCACCTCTACCCTAATGAACCTTGCTTCTTGTGAGAAGGCACCGAGAGCTATGTGTTTCTGTTTTGGTCCAAGTCGCATTAATATCATTCCTTAAATTTACACCAGGACAAAATTCTGTTTTCTGGTTTTATTGTCCCCCCTTTTCATCAAGTGATCAGAATAATACAGAGACTGATCAGAATCTTAACAGAAAGTTGGTCTTTAAATAAATTGCAACCTCCAACTACCCAACTCCATTTAATTCCGACTGAATCTACAGGTTTCTCCCATTACCCAAAGCACAATGTCCCCAAAAAACTTTCACAATAATTTACCTGGAAAATCTTTTTGATCATTGCCAGACCCAAAGTATAACTTGTCAAATCCTATCAAATAACAAACATAACAGTCCAAACTATGGCGAGGCCAGTCTCACCGGCGGCTCAGGTTGGAGCTGCCTCGGTAACAGCTTGCTAAACTAAACACGAGTTTCTCTTTCCCCACTACTTCCCCATAATAGTGAAAAAATTTTTTTTTCAGTAAAAGCAGAGACTTGTAGATTTTTCATAAAAGCAAAGTCCTCTAAACAAACCTTTTGAAAAGCTGGGAATACCTGTACTTCAAGAGTCATTATACTAATGAAAAAAGGGTTATCAGCCCATTTGGCAGGGCAGACCAACATACCCTTATCAAACACGCCAACCCTCCACAAGTACTCAACCTACTGGGCAGTTGTTGTGGAGTTCCCTGCACCTCGATGTCCCACATCCAGTGGAGTTCTTGGCTTCCAATACTTGGAAAATGAAGATTTCATGTCACAATTATATCCTGGTAATGGCCTAATAATTATATAGTCAACTTTCAGAGAAAAAGTAAAGAAGGGATGGGGGAGACAAAGATGGAGGAAAAATGAAGACCATTTTGAGTTTAATTATATTTAAATACAATTTAACCCCACTTTAATAATCTCTAGCAAATATTTTTTAATCTAACAATTCAAGATTGATTTACACCAAAGCTTCTAGAAAGTAATATATATGTTCCCTCAAACTGTTATTTCATACTAGTTTGAATACACAGTATCTTTACTTTTCTTATAAAACCAACTTGAAACTAATGTAAAATCCAGTCCAGCCTCAACTCTTTGTAAGGGGCCCCATGTAACTAACATACCTCTCACTTTGCCTATTGTTTTCCTGGAGTTTCTGCTCATAATGGGAAGAGTCAGGACCCCAGCACTCTTCCCACTCTCCGCAATGGTAGACGATAAGAGACACGCCGTCCCCACGTGGCCAGGAAGGGCATCACCCTGAACCACGGGCTCACTGAGGTCTTCCTGGAAAAGGAAGTGAGAAAAACTTGACGACACCAAACTTTGATGTTCCTAATTTCAACGATACGAACAGTCAACTTAGAAACTATGGATATTTAAAGAGCACCAATGAGAAATACAATCAAATTTATATTTAGGTAATGGAAATGCCTTCTTTATAATATTCCTTTTCTCTTAAATGTTAATATTTTAAGACTTCCACATTTTATTTAATCGTTGCACTACTGATTTGAGTTCTGTTCTTCTAACATGCATGACATGAATTTAAAGCACTGATAAGGTTCTAATGTGCCTTCACATTCAAAGTCTCGGGCATTTTGTAGTGAATTTTTAACGTATGTTTTAGTCTCTAAAAGTACCATCAACACAGGTGGCATTGAAGAAATTTTAAGTAACTCCCCAAGAAACCAAATAATCATTTTGAGACCACACTGGCTATTCTATCAGCCCAGTCTATAAATAACACATTTCCAAAAATGGTAGCATTTGATAGGGAAAAGCTAGGGTGTTTCAGAGATGACTAAAAGACAGGTTCTTAAGCAGCAAGGAAAAGTTCAACAGAAACTTCCATTCTTAATGGTGGGAGGAGGGAGACAGTGGTCAGTGTTGAGAGGAAGGGGAAAAGAGGCGCTGATACCAAGGACTCGAAGCAAATGTTTATAAAATAATGATGGCAACGTATGTACATACATGCTTGATACAATTGATGTATGGATTGTTGTAAGAGCCCCCAATAAAATGATATTTTAAAAAAGAAAAATTCTTGTTTTTATCATGTAAGCTACCTAGTAACCTCGCTAGCTAACTGGAGAAAATCATTTAGATCCCTTATAATGCAAGGTAGCCATATAAGATATTCACACAGGCTATGTGGAGAGATATCACCAAGTTAAATAATGCAAAGTTCACAATAATTTTAGTTCTAACAAGTTTTGTCAGTCTGCCCTAAATTCTACAATCGACAAGAACCTGGGACTAGGTGCTGGTGCTGGGTAATTCTCTATTCTCCAGGGTTCACACGCTCGTCAACTCAGAACGGGGATCGGAGTGGCAGCGGAGCTGGAGGGTAAGAAACAGGCAGTGCTGTGGCAGCACAAGAGAGTAAGACCCTCAAGAGAGGTGCAGTGCTGTCCTTGGAGAGAATTTGACCAGCCCGAGAGCTAATCAGCTCTAACAAGCATCCCAAGTAGCTGTGGAAAGTAAGCAGGACAGAGTCTTAACAACCTGGCACATTTTTTTCACCATAGCAAAAACATTTAGAACAAAGCATGTGCCAATTCAATATTATTTTTACGTGGACAATCCAATGTCAATGATTATGCGTTCTACGTTACACCGCCACTCACCACTGAATAGGGTTCCTCCTCCTCCTCTGCTCCCACCCATGGTAACACAAATGAACTTTAGTCTCTGAAAAGTATCCTACTTCATATGACATATGAATATGACATGCTATTGAACCTTTGTGACATCTCACTCAGCATCATTTGTTCAAGGTTCATCCATGTTGTAGTGAGTACCAGGACTCCAATTCTCTTTCTGACTGAGTAATGTTCATATTGCATTGAGGAACCACCAACTCTTTCCTAGCATAACTTTTATAATAAATATAATATATTGATAAGGTCAAGTGAAATTACAAAAAGAGGAGCCCATTGTTAGAGCAAATCCTCATACTGAAAGCCCCCCAATCTATAAACCACTGAACTCCCCCATGGGGAAAACTCCCTATGCTTAGCTCCACAGGGACCTACGGAGAGTCAGACAGCCCTCCGGCCCTGTGCACTTCCTCAGGCCATCCAAAGACAAGATGGATGTTGCCAAGGGTTGCATTCTATTTACTTGGATCCACAATCAATACTCTTGGAAGCAGCACTCAAGAAATCAAACCATGCTCTGCACGGGCCGACTGCTGGACAAGACCTCATTAGTGTTAAAGGCATCACTTTCAGAATCTGTTGTGCTATAGTTCCTTGCCCATTGGGACTTGACCGCAGTGAATTTGGTTTTTTGGTTACCTGCCTTTGCAGTTGCCTCCCTATCATTCTTTGGGGGGCGGAATGATGCACAAGGGGGCATGTGACTCACTCTAGGAAACACTGCTTGAAGGAAGACGGTACACCTGACCGAAGCCAGAATATCAACAATGGCCTCATAAGAATGTGAAAGCTACGCAATGATTCCCGAGGACCGGAGAGGAAATGCTGTGCTGGCTACCGACACGGGAAGCACGACAGGAAAATGCCACTTACCTCAAAGAAGTCAAAGATCAGTTCCAGGTTATCTGGCTCCATCGTCTGTATGCTGTACTCCGTCCATCGGTCAGGCTGTAAGCCATACCCACACTCGGGCTGGGAATGTCGGCACTTGAACTCGTGGTCACTTATTAAGGATATCTCTAGGCTGTTAGACATTTTGTGAAGAACTGTCGGAGATACCCTATCATCATCATCATCTTCCTCCAGACCTTCCAGTGTCAGTTTTACCCTACGTTTTCGGAAAAAATAAATAGGAATGTTGCCTAAATGCAGAATACAATATGCTCAGTCTTCACAGGGTTACAAAGACTATGTGCACTAAAGGTTACAGCATTGCATGGTTTTACAAACACCTTTTTATGTGTATGTATTTCATAAGTTTTCCATGTCTATTATGTCTATAAGGCTTCTTCTGCTCATAATTCTTGGGCTAAGATTTTTAAATAAATGAAATCTGAAATGATACTATTTTCCCCTTTGCAGTTGCTATAATAACTTCTTAACCCTCAAATAATATTAAGATCTCCTTTTGAAAAGTTCTCCAATCTTTTTCTCATACATATACAAACAAACACAGGATTTACCCTGTTAATGTGCATTAAAAGGCTGTTGGCAAGTGTAAGACATGACAAAAATGATAATAATTTATAAATGATCAAGGGTTCATGAAAGAGGGGGATGCGGGGAGGGAGGGGCAAAAATGAGGAGCTGATACCAAGGGCTCAAGTAGAAAGAAAATGTTTTGAGAATGATGATGGCAACAAATGTACAAATGTGCTTGACACAATGGATGCATGTATGGATTGTGATAAGAGTTGTATGAGCCCCCAATAAAATTATTTTAATTAAATAAATAATGAATGAATGAATGAATGGCTGTTGGAGTTGGACGTTACAAATTTAAGATTTTTTCCCTTATTCTACCACTGTGAGATTCTAGGTACTTTGGGGAAAATACATTACTAAAGAAATGCATTTGTATTAAACCTTTCTATACACATGAACACATAAGTATGAAATAATACAAATATAGTGAAACAAAAATGTGAGTCTCAAATTCCTATAAACCTCAAAGCAACAGAAATTCAGACCAGTTAGCCAACCCATAGAGCCAGAGTTCAATCTTATCCCAAAGAGAAGCAGTAACTTATAGAGATACTACTTTTAACTCAAAATGCCAACTCAATTTCAGAATATTTCAGGTACCAATTGGAATATATAAAGCAATTTTAATATTGTTATTGTGACTGTTATATAATCTGTCAACTTGCAAAGGGGTGGAACCTAGCCTGTCAATCAGGTCACAGCCAATGAGGCCTCTGTGAGGATATGACCTCCTTTTGAGGATTCTGGAACTCCTGTCTTCCTCCCTGGAGGTAGGACACACATTCACCCTGTGAGCCATGTCTGTTGACAAGCCACATGGAGCTACACTGATAGAGCCAGAACCCTGGAGCTGGAGGAGCCATGCTGAGATACTTCCACCATCACTGGATCCACAAGACTTTCTACCCATTGGCCTGTGATCTTCCTGCTTTGTGTCATTTCATGTGTTGTGTGAGTCTGAAGAGAAATTCATAAACTGGTATAGGGCTTATGGATGAATATCGGACTTACAGACTTATTCTGGACTGGCTGGGATGTTTTATTAAAATACAATTATTCTTTATATAAAGTTCTTTCTTATACACAAGTATCTATGAATTTGGTTTCCCTAGTCTACCCGGACTAACACAGTTATGTGGGGAGTACTCAGTATATACCAAGCAATGTTAGAAAGTACATAACAAATTGAGCTATTAAATTTTTTTATTCTAGATTTAAATGACTCCAATTTAGAAGACAATTAACAAAATTATACTTCAGAGCCTGCCCTTTCTGTAGGAACCCCTGTCCTTACTCACCACTGGGTTTATCTAATAAGTCATATATTTTTGAGGTGCACTTGAGGACAGCTCTACAAATTATCCTATTAGTAATATTACTCTGTAATCACACTATAAAATCACAAGTAGCATTTTAATAACCCCCCCACCCCACCCCACCCCCCACCCCAAAAAATGCTCTCTTCTCACAATGGTTCTAAACCACTGATTCTATTGGTGAGTGTGAAGGAGCAAATGTTCACTGCTAGGGTTTGTGGTATTCAGACGACACAAACATGCTTGCTGAAAGTGAGAACTTGAAGCACTTTCTGATGAAAATCAAAGATTGTAGCCTTTAGTCTGGACTGCAACTCAATGTAAAAAAAAAACCCCAAATTCTCACAAATGAACCAACAGACAGACAGACATAAACGGAGAAAAGATCAAAGTTGTCAAGGATTTCATTTTACTTGGATCCACAATCAACACTCATGGAAGCAGCAGTCAAAGAATCAAATGTTGTACTACATTGGTCGAATCTGCAACACAAGACCTGTTTAAAGTGTTTAAGATCAAGAGGCATGCCTGATCAAGGTCATGGTATTTTCAATCGCCACATATGCATGTGGCAGTTGGGCAATGAGTAAGGATGACCGACACAGAGTTGATGTACTTGAATGATGGTGCTGACAAAGCACATTGAGAGTACTTTGGACTGCCAGATGAACAAGCAAATCTGTCTTGGAAAAAGTATGGTGTCTAAGTATCTAAGAACGTTCCTTAGGAGCAAGAATGGTGTGGCTTTGTCTCTTGTACTGTGGACATGTTATCTGGAGAGACAGGTCCCTAGAAAAAGACAGCAGGCTGGACAAAGCAGAGAATCAGTGAAAAAGAGGAAGACGCTCAAGGAGATGAAGTACTGTGGGGGCTGCAACAATGGATTCAACTATAACAATAATTCTCAGGATGGCATAGGACTGGGCAGCACTCCATGCTGTTGTACACAGAACTGACTTGACAGCACCTGACAATGGGACACATGAAAAGAGACTGCCCGGGTCAGTGAGGAAGCAAGGCTTAAACAGAAACGCGTGGTCAGAGTCGATTCCAACTCATGGTGATCACGGAGATGAACATGACTGCTCTGCTAGCAGCCTTCTCTCTCTCTTTTAAAAAGCAAGTTCTTTGAAAGAACTTAGGTTCACTGTGTTTATAGGAAAGGCTTTCTCCAAATAGCAATAAAAGTGATTTAGTCTATCATAAAGCAGAATTACTGATCGAGCTAACTGACAGGGAAACTTGCATTTAAATTTTAGTTGTAAGGAGATGGAGCCACATGTCCAGTATTTCACATATTTTGCAAAAGCTGAAAATACCATGACTATTTTTTATGTCCTGTTGTCTTTGCAGATTAAATTTATTTCCTACTCCAAGAAGACTCAGTCTTTCATTAATATGACTCTGGGCAAAGATGATCAGAACAAGCACCAAAAATTTAACAGGTGCCAATGTCACTAATGTGTAGAGCCCAGCTAACCAGTGATAAGAAAATATTTCAATTAGTTTTAAGTCTAAGCAACATATTAGCAAACATTCAAAGTGATTTCTATTATAAATAAGGATTCAATTTGCATATTTATTCCAATCAAATTGTTAATGCTTAATCATTAATGCTTCACCTATTTACTTCTTAATTCTAGTCAAGGGTGAGGAGCTCCTTTGAAGGCCAACCAAGGTTTTATTTATACTTCTCTCTGTAGCCTTATCTCAAAGTCTTTAATATAACTTATAGCAGCAATATAATTTATTTGCTCCTTTTAACATGTAAAGAAACTCTTTAACTATGTACAACATTATATATAAAATTATATGGTCTTTGGGGTCAACTGGATCTTTTTTTAAAATTATTTTATTGAAGGCTCGTACAATTCTTATCAGTCCATACATACATCCATTGAGTCAAGCACATATGTACACCCGTTGCTCTCATCAATCTCAAAACATTTGCCCTCTACTTTAGCTCTCAATATCATTTGCTCATTTTCCCCCTCCCTCCCCACTTCCCCCTCCCTCCTGAACCCTTTATAATTCATAATTATAGTTTTGTCATAAGTTACACTGTCTGACGTCTCCCTCCGCCCTCTTCTCTGCTGTCCATTCCCCAGGGAGGAAGCTATACTTAGATTCTTGTAATTGGTTCCCCCCTTCTATCCCACATTCCCTTCACCCTCCAGGCCTTGCCCCTCTCACCACTGGTCCTGAAGGAGTCATCTATCCTGGATTCCCTGTGTTTCAAGTTGCTATCTGTACCAATGTACATCCTCTGGTCTAGCCAGATTTGTAAGGCAGAATTGGGATCATGATATTGGGGGGAGGAAGCATTAAAGAACTAGAGGAAAGTTATATGTTTCATCATTGCTACCCTGCACCCTGATTAGCTCATCTCCTCCCCAAAACCCCTCAGCAAGGGGGTGGGGTCAAATGGATCTTGAAGACAAATTTCAGTTCTTTTACAGCACAGGTGAGGCCTAGGAAAGTTAAGGCACAGAGAGACGTCCCACCTGGTTTGACAATAGAGCCCCTAACGACTAAAGTAGTGACAGTGCGGTCCGCACACCCTTCCCCTGTCTACTTTATGACTGGAATATAATCATCATAATTATAGTAAAACATTTACAGATTTAAAACTATAGTATTGTTAGAAACTTTATGATGAAGAGAAACATTACATGATTAATTACTTCCATTACTGAAAAATAGTCCTTTTCAACTGCCCTGGCAGTCAAGGAAGCATGTATCTATCACACATAGTGCCAAATGACAAAATTCAGATAGAATGCCTGATTCTTAGAGAAGCCAGCTCATTCAAGGTATGCATAATGACACTGTTTTTTTTTAAAGTGAGTTCTTATTTATCTAAGGAGCCCTAGGGGCACTGTGGGTTACGACCTGCAATGTCGGCAGTTCAAACCTACCAGCTGCTCCACAGGAGACAGATCAGGCTACTTTCCTAAAGATTTAGCCTCAAAGACCCCACTTAAGGTTGCTAGGAGTCGGGGATCCACTTGACAGCAGTAGGAACAGTTTGATATCTATTTCTTAGTATAAGCTTAAATTATGGAGAACTCCTGAAGGCTACTGCCCTACGGTAAGACTCTAAATCTTGAACCAAATTCACACACCGCCGCCACCCCCACCCCACAAAGTCATCTTTTAGCTAACCTGGCTCACAAAATAATGACTATCACCCATGAATACAATCCTTCAAAAAAAATAAAAATAAAACCACCCACATGAGATCAACCAGTTGACAATTACTTGAAGACAACGATGAGACGGTTAAGGAAGAGTATAGAGCCAGCTTGGTGGAAACAAAGCACCAGAATGGGAACACTGTAGAACGCCATCACTGGACCACGCGTGTAAATACCGCTAAATGGGAACTACACTGTGTATACCTTCACGGAAAACACATCAAAATTATTTACACACACATACATATCTCAAAAAGTTCCTATAAAATTGAATGAAAATATAATGGATATAATATATAGACTTAAGAAATCTAATCTGAAACTGATAGTAACTGCTACCTTTGTTTCATGGAAATGTATCTTATTCTCAAGGCACAATAAAGTTTGGAATACTGAAGGATATTCCTAACAATTATTTTTTGTTTGTTTATTTCCACCATGCTCCCATTTGGCATAAAACCATGTTCATCTTTTTCAGCTATTTCTGGGTAAACTAGGAAAATTTAAAAGCTAGAAACTATAAGAAGAAATTATCTGTTGAAAAAGCTAATTATTCTAGTCCCACATTTAGAGACTAACATATGTTTAGCTGTAGCAATTTGAGAAGGGAAGATTTCACTATCACAAGACTTGCAATAATTAGAAAATGTGACATTATCAATAAGTATGTTGTTTTCTTGGTTTACATACTTAGCACCGAGTCTGAACACTGCAGCATGAGTGAAATATGGCTCAACAAACACATACACACAGTCATACCTAAATCTAGATTTTTTAAATTTTTTCTTGGTTATTGACACAGGAGGTTTTTCAGAATAATGCAAACGCAATCTTATTTCAGTCTGACATGTCAGCCATCCAGAATCCAAAGTTTCAACACCATCTGGCAGAGTAAATATGAAAAACAGTAATTATACATCTAAGAAGTTGTTTTATTGTGGCAAAAATATTTTTAGCAAAATGACTTGCCAATTTAACCATTATATAATACAATTCATTCATGTTCACATTTTAAACCACCAAAGTTACATATCACTGGTACTTTTCCCAAAACAAATGTATAGTCTTATATTTGTTGTTGAAAAGAGCGATCATTTGAAGTGGGGAGAAAAACAAATAAGTGAATATTATTACCAACAATTCCATTCTTTAACAAATCAAATAAATTAAAAGAGTTTACATAATCAATTACTGAAGTAATATAAATTGTTTATATGTTCTAAAACAGCTTCTAGACTGGCAATTGTTTCAATAGGGATCACTATTAACTTTCAAAGTGTCGGTTTTGGATATGAGAAGGTTTTGGATATGAGAAGGTTAAGAATAAAATGGAGTCACTTCTATATTCCCGCTTCTATATTCTTTCATAAATAAATTGTATGATTGCAATAAATTTTGTTAGTACTCTTGAAGTTAGAAATCTGAACTCAACAAACAGGTAATAAAACTTCAAAAGAACCTGAGAAAGTTCCAATTATTTTAAACTTAAGTTTCTTCACCAATAAGATTAATATTTTTAAAATTATACTTAGGTATAACAAAAATGTAATCATACAAAGAAATGTAATCATGTCCAAAAAAATTCTCCCAAATACAAATACACCAAAAAGACAAAAAACAAGCAAAAAGAAACAGTATACGTAAAGGGATAAGACTCTAAAACACTAAACACGGAAGTTTAGTATTCTACACCAATATTTTAATGTACAACAAAACATCACAAATGAAATCAAGCAATTAAATTCCTAATTAAACAGAACTAGAACCATTATATGTCATTAAATTCCTAACCAAACAGAACTAGAACCATTATATGTCTAATGTGCACAAACATACGTGCATAGTAAAATCATAAGCAAAGCATGCAGGCCCCGTTCTTCCCTCTACTTGGTAAAGCAGTAATTTATCACACTGGTTCAGAGTCCATGCAATGGCACCTCCTGCCCACCCTCTAGCGCCTGAGATGGGAATGCACCTTCCTCAGCATGGAAACCTCAACACTGTCAGAATTCCTACCACTGAAGAAAACGTGACTTCTCAGGGTTTTTACTGAAGCAGAATAAATGCAGCTTCTATTCCATACATACAGATTTTAAAAGACTTAATGGGAATTACTGGAACATTCTGATTAGTCTGAGGTTTACTGTAAACGCATATACACATAGTATACACAAACTTAGTTTAAGCGCAACATTATACATTTTAAATGTTTAGAACCTTTAACATCACTTTCAAACATATTGCTTGCTATGATAAGAGTTAAGTGTGATGAGTTTCGGTGTTGGTAGTTTGGTGGTAGAATCTTCACCCTCCACGTGGGAGACCTGGGTTCAAGTCCTGGCCCATATACCACAGGTGGTGTCACCAACCCTGTCAGTGGAGGCAGAGTGTTGCTATGAAGCTGAACAGGCTCCATCAGAGCAGTCAGACTAAGGGAACCAAATGACCTATGTAGCCAAATGAACTATAGCTAAATGACAACCCTCCAGATCACTATAGTTTGCTTAACAGCTGATCACAGGGATGGTACAGGACCAGTTTGGCTGTGTGGGGTCACCAGGTGGCAAGAGGACTCAATGGCAGCTCATACCACAAACATCTTAGGTGATTATAGTAACATACCTGATATCAACAAATAAATACCTGAAGGAGAATCAACACATTCAAAACGCAGTCTCACTTACTGTGGATTCCAAATTGTCCATCGTCGATAATACTTTCATTTTCTAGAATTAAAGGAAAATAGGAGGCCTAGTTAAAATCATGGTGTCCACAAACTGAAAAGTAAGGACTTTCAAAAATATTACATCTAAATGTCAAAAGCATCCCAAAGTGAATAAGCATATTCATTGTCGCCCTCAATAAGAATTCCCTTTCAAGGAAGATCAAGGAGAGTAAGAAGCCTAACTTACTTTGGTAATTACACACAGTAGCATCACAAGGACAGGAAAAGGAAACGCCTCTGAGAGGGGCTCCAGAAGCTCTGGGATGAGGAACGTCTACACCCATCACGGTAACGTGTGAGACTACCAAGCTCTTAGATAATGACAACTCCTTACTGATTGTTCTAACCAAAGGTCTTGCCACAATTAAAATGCTTATTCTTATGTAGTGCACATTCTGAACTTGTCTAACCAGAATCCTCCTGAAAGCCCCACTCTTTTCTAAAACCAGCTACAAGTTGTACAATGTAAACTTACCTGTGCAGACAGAGCTGTGGGGAACTACCAAAAAAAAGACACGTGCAAGCATAGCTAACTCTAACAGAAATGTCAACCAATTAAGAAAAGTGTCGAACCCCACCCCGAGTAAATTAAGAATTCTCTTCCCTGTCTAATTCCCATCCCTGTTCACTCTAAAAAGGAGTCGGAAATACTTGTCAAAAAAAAAAAAGCGATCGTTTCTCACAAAGCTTCTCTGGCAGATCTTACATGGCTCTTAAATGTTACGGTGCCCCAAAGCATAAATTTCTTTTTAAGAGACCAGAAGTAAAATTACCTCTCCACTTCTTACAATAAGAAAATATATTTAACTGCAAGATACTTAAAATGCAAATTGTTTAAATGTTTAGTAACTAGTAAGTTCCAACTTCAGTACAGGACTATTATAATTCTAAAGCATATTATCATAAAAACTCTAAAATATATTACTAAAAATCTAATGAAAAGAAAATCCAAGAAAGAGAATGGGATGAGGCTGTTTAAAACTGAAATATGCCTTTGTGGTGGGTAGAGCAGAAACTCAAACTTTCTTCAGATCTAAGCTAGGGACTAGGAAGCCATTTATTATCTTTAAATTCTAACTTTACCTGAAACACTAAAAGATATATTTCACAGCATTGAAGTCAATTGTCAAATGAATATAAGTAGGTAAATTCATGTATGTAAAATGAACGTCAAACTAATTTTGGTATTTTTTAAAAAGTCAAAAATTACTTGTATGAAGAAAAATGCTATTTTTAGACATTAAAAAAACATAATGTTTTATTTTTTTTTAAATAGAAAAATCCATCTTTCTGATTATCTAGATTCTAACATAGCCATCAGGGAATTAAAATAAGTCAGGAAGAATAGGTGTCTGTTATAACCAAGAAATTTTAGTTCATTCAAGTATTTAATAAAGTAAGAAGAAGAAAAAAGAATACGTAGGATAATTTCTACTCTGAATATTCAAAGTTAAAAAATTAAGATCTTTGTTTTCCATTGGAATTTAAGAACTTTCCTCAAAGTTCTAAGCTCGAGCAAATAATCAGTAAGAGCCATGGATTCTCAGTTTCAAGAAGAATCTTAGTTTATAAACGCGAAATAAAAATAAATACTTGAAAATAAACCAATCTAACCCAAGAAAATAAAAAATAAATAGGCAAGCATTTCTAATAGAATAGTTTCATTTTGAAAGTAAGATCCATGAAATGCTAAGTGAAAATTGCACCACTGATAAATGCATTGACTTTAAACTTTAGAACAAAAAAGAAAGTATCCAATCCCACTAAGCCATTGTGCAGCATATTAGTAACTTTATGCATATGCCTCAAACAGATGCAGTGAATGCCCATACCTAAAGGGGTTATTGATCGTGGTTGTAGATGAGTCTCCCACTTGTGAACTATGACTTGGCATGGACCACCGATCGTCTGCAATTTAAAAGTTAAACGTCTGCAATAATTTCTTATATCTTATTTTCTACCCATGACTCCATTAGCTGTTTGTGACCTATGTCTTATACTAAATATGAAACCAAGAGATTCAGTTTGTTAATCATCGATAGTATATGCCAAAAGTCAACACTGTACCAGGTCACAAAACATGAGGTGTGCTAGAAGAAAATGAGAGTGAGGCAATAAACAAACACACACACACACACACACACACACAAAGATGAGCTGGAACACAAAGCTGTCTTAAACCCATTCTTTCATCTGTCTGTACTGCTAAATTTTTTTCAAGGAAATTTACATTGTTATCTAAAGTGAATGTTGTCATAAGTTGCAGTTAACACCAAATATTCTTTCAGTTTGGCACGTCAGCAGTCAATGAGATGGTACTAGATAATGTAGTCACCTCCTGCCCTCCAAAGAACTCCCCCAGTGTGAAGCATGCCCAACAATTCTACGACAGCCAGGACGGCAAGCTCAAGGAACTGGAGGACAGAACGCTCTTTATGATGTTTACTCAGGAAAAGCAAGCAAGCCAGCAAATCTATTGCTCTTCACTAGGTCCCAGCTCAGAGCAGCCCCCGTTAGGAAGAGGCAATGATAAGCAGGACCAAGACCAGATCCCTCCTATGGTGCTAATCAGCATGTCTACTGAGTGTGTGCCGTACCCACTCCACCTGCCCCCCCAGAAGTCCTCTAACTCAGCATTCTCAACCTGTGGGTTGCGACCCCTCTGGGGGTCAAAACGACCCTTTCACAGGGGTCGCCCGATTCATAACAGTAGCAAAATGACAGTGATGAAGTAGCAATGACAATAATGTTATGGTTGGCGGAGGGGCTACCACAACATGAGGAACTGTATGAAAGGGTCGCGGCAGGAGGAAGGTGGAGAAGCACTGCTCTAACTCATTGCCATCGAGCCCATTCTGACCTACAGGACAGGGTAGAACTGCCCCTGTGGGTTTCTGAGGCTGCCATTCTTCACAGGAGAAGAAAACCTCTTCTGTCTCCCTCAGAGCAGCGGGTGGGGTTCAAACTGCGGAGCGTGCAGTTAGCAGGCCAATGTCTTAACCACTATAGCACCAGGGTTCCTTTCTATAGAACCTGAGAAACCCTAAATGACAGAGCACATGGGTGGGGACACATGAAGAATAACTTTGGTAAAAGAAGGCTGACACTTCAATTTTCTAATATGCTTTATTAGGATTTATCAATTCATATAGTGTGAAAATTCCTAATAGTATCTTCTGTTATTAAGCTCTCTTACTAAAAGAATAAAATAACTTTATGTATTGCTGGTAACTTCTACTATAATTTAAAACAAAAGTAAGCTATCAGCAAATAGCCCCCGGCTAATACCTAAAGGATTAATTCCTAATTGTCCTTTGATCAATTTTTTAAATTCTTAAAATTACATGTTAAAATAAGGCCTTAAATATCTATTTTAAATGCAAATCTGTAAACTATATCCTTACAAGGTTTATTTTTTCTCTTCTGCGGATATTATGTCAAAATTTAATAAGATACAAGAAAGTAATTAGATAAAATAAACAACCAAAGGATATGTCCTCCTAAAAAACCTGGATCTCAGATATGAAAGGGCTTCAAAAAGTTCATGGAAAAATTCTTATCTTCCAATTCCAGTTTTCCATGAATTTTTGTAGCCTCTTTGTATACATTTCTCTATATATACTGTATATTACCACATATTAGACTCTTTACACTGATTACATTCAATAAGCACCAAATGAAAACAAATAAGCACGTAACAATTAAACACATTAATTAAATACATGATAATTCTACCACTTAAAATGAACAGGCCAAAATATTTTCAATTTGCAAGCTTTGGAAAATTTCAAAACTAAAGAAGCTTTAGCTAGTGATGCTAAAGGAGAAAATGGTCATTTCCTCCAGCTGACACCTCCTTGCAATAAGGGCTCATCTGTGACTCGGTAGGCTGGGTAGATTTTTTTTAAAGCATCAATGGGAAGCTGAAAATATGGTGAATCTCATAGCAATTACACTAGAAGAGGAGATACATTTAATTCTTGACCAGTTAAGATGTTTTTTCCCCCATGAGTTCTTATTGACATGGTTTTGAGTTTGCATTAGAAGCATAAAACTTTCTAATCCTCAAAAACTGTAAATTTATATAGTAACAGTAGAAATAATCTTTCTTAACAAAAGTAAGTAGCCAAAAAGCACTATCTATTTCCTTCCCTTATCCTCTCATCCTTAAAAAAACCCCAAAAGACACAAAATATCTATAAAGATATTTTGGATGTATGGTCTTATAAAAGTTACTAATCAAAATTGGGTTTAAAAATGGTCCCACGAATATAATAAATGTAGGTAGGCATTAAAAAGTGGGTAGAAGAAAAGTTTTGTTTGTTTTGCTTTAATTCAGGCCTCAGTTGAACTTTACCACGCTTTGACTATAGTACCTACATGTAAGCATGTAAAAATAGTCATGTGAACTAAATACATGGTAGGAAACATATTTTAGTGTAATTTTAACAACCCTTTCTAGCAAAGGCATTCCTCTGACCAAACCACTACTCATAAACTCCCTTGAGGTGGCTAGATGGAGAATCTGTGGAGTAATGAGAGGAGTCCACTACCAAAAAATGATTTTTAATGAATGGGGTCTAATTAGCACTTACTGTGCAAATCCATGTTGGCTGGTTATAATATTTAAATTAAGTAAATTTTAAGACCTAATGAGTTTCCAAAATGTGTTATGACTACTTTATTGTACTATAGATGGCAATGTTAAATTTCGGCTTTATTGAAATTTTTGTGTTGTTTTTTTTTTTAATGAGTCGAGCATTGGAAAATTTGAAATCTCAGCAATAACTCTAAATTGTGCAATTATTTCTAATATGCTAACTCTAACACCGTATTCTTTGGGATCTGAGAAAAATAATTGTTCTCTTATGCATAAGGCTGCCAAAACGTTAAGTGGAAGGAGGACGCTGGGGGGAAGGTGTTGGGGGAGGTAACTATCAGTTCTGAAATGTTTTCAAGCATGCACATTGAAAAGCAATTTTAAAACTAATTTGTTTCCCAAAAAGAATTAATGATTGCTCTCAAACACTGAGAGGAAAAAAATATCCAACGGGCAGCTAGATTTTTTTAACAAATGACAAAGTAGCCAGTGACGAGTATCACTGCTTTCAGAGGTCTTCATCAAAAAGGCCAGCTTCACAAATTGTATTCTTGCTGAAATTTTGTAAAAGAAACGATGAGCTCATTTGTGAGGTCATTTAAGGCCAGACCCAGAGCTATTAACATCGCTCTCATTTCAATAAGACCAATACACAGTGGTCACCTCGTGATCAATAAAGCAAAGGACCCTAGGCTGGCAGACATCTCAGAGATGGTTCAAATCCCAGCTAAATATGCAAGTATACAGCATCCAGAGAAGTGTATTATATTCAGAACCTATTGTGCAAAGGGGCAACTGGGGTTATTCTAAAAATGAACAATTGTATATCTATCACTGATGACCACACTGTATAGTATGTTTCTTTTGTTTAGGGATAAAACATCGGGGAAGACTAGGAACAATGAAGAGAGTTTGGAATAAATCGAATTATCAATGTTTCCTAGCACCTATAAAAGGACAAGAAATGTTACTGGAAAGTAAAGGTATATTTCTATTGAAATGAAGGAAAATGTTTAAAGACAATATAATTTAAAAGTGGCTAATATTTCACTATGATAAAACACTCCTAATTCCAGGCCCAAGTAAGGGAGGTAGTTATGGATCAGAAATGGTTAAGTTCTAAGTGTCTGTCCTTGGTGAGATGTGAAACTAATGGTATAGCTGCAGATTCGGATCAATGTTTTTATTCAAAGACTACCTACTACTTTTCTTTGCTATGTTTCTATTTTATAAGAATATTTTACTTTGTAATCTGTAACATTATTGGGGAAAAATCAATATATTAGCCTCTTATTTTTACTTCACAAACACAAAAAGACTGAGGAGTGTGAAAAATTAAGAGAAAAGACTTTCAGACTCTAACTTCTGAACACAAAGGAATAACCCAGATAAAGCCAAAAGAAAATGTGAATGATAAAATTGTATTGCTTTGTAATAAAATTTTAGCAATGGAAGGGACCTATGAAATCTTCAGGTCAAACCCTGATGAAGCTGAAGTCTAAGTCACTGGTCCAAATCACAAGAATTTAAGCTTACATTCTTCCCACCTTCAATTGTCTGGCTAGACTACTTGCAAAAACAAAACAACAAAAATCAATCTTATCTCCCAATTCCAAATTTTTACTTTCATAATTACTTTGCTACCATTCTTTAAACTCATAAGACATGCACGCCAATCATTTACATGATTTCCCAATTTAAGATTCCTTGTAGATTACATGTATCATTTGACACTACACATTTAAAAGAAAGTTTCATACAATTTCTAGTAAAAATGTTTCATTCTAAAAGTGCCACCAACTTTAAAAGAAAAGCAGTGTTACTTTCTGTGGGCATGGGGGGCGTGGGTGGGGGGTAGATTACTCTAGCCATATGCATGGGGTTTTATGCAGCTATTGTCTCTATTCCATGAAAAACATACTTACCGTGGCAGCCCCTGCATCACACGGTACATGTGTACACGATACAGAGCACCTACTTAAAGAAACACACTCACCAACATATACTGTAAACTTTTGCAAGTATTACAAAGAAGGAACTTGGTTTTGGTATTTTTTTTTACTGTAAGTAGATTACTTGCCAATTTCCCCCCCCCAAAAAAAAGGTGTTTTGGGCAGATCTGTTTTGGATTATAATTTCAAGAAAGAGAAAGTATTAGAGGTTGGCTTAATTGATCTGTGTTGACAAAAGTCTTACTTTAGAAAACTGTGCCCATTAACATTTATTACCTCTAGAAACCCCTTTTCAAGTAAAATTTCACTGATTTCCCATGTTACAAATCTAAATGTCTCAAATGAGTTTTCAATGTTATTAGTTCTATGATCTATGTAACTATACTCAAGTTGCTCAACTGATACTGAAGACCCTTGTCACTACATATAACTTCTTTGCCAGATAAATGATAGGTGCTCCTGAGTCGTTAAAGTGAGACTATTGTCAAGATAAGTCAACACAATGATCAACCATAGAAAAATTTAAGTTCAATTACTGAATATTCACTTGTACTAGAATAAGAAACGTAATAGGTGCAAAAGACAGCTCAAGTGGGTTGTCAGTTTTCCTTCTGCTTTCTACGCTGGTAGCTAAGAGGTGAATGGTGTAGATTGGTTACCTGTATATTTCATACACAGCGCGTGTCCAGTAGGGCCCTCCCCAAGGGACATACATTTCTTAAAAAGATTGTACTCATTGTTTTTCTTGGACCTCTGGCTATGCAGCCTCAGTGTGCGCTAACAGTTAAAAATATGAAGGGAAAGAATCCGATCCACAAACAAATATCTTTAAAATAAGAGGAAAAGAACCCAATGTTTTTCTCTAATAAATATGTAATCCTAATATATATATATATTTAATCATCGTGAATAAGCTTATTTAATAAAAAGCAGAAGGCATTCAGAAATAATTCTGGTCCATCAATTCTGGTCCTTTTTAGAAAAATGAAAAATCTAGAGGAATCGTTCCAATTGTGGGAAAAACAACAACACAGCCACTGAGAGGGCTGCCATGAAAGAAAATTAATAATTACTCACATAAAACTATATAATCTCTTCTAAGGGAGTTTCAAAAGTTTCATGGAAAAATTCCATTAACTTTTCATTCCATGCCTCCATGAACTTTTTGAAACCTCCTTCATATTTATAATGTTTAAGGGTTTAAAATCAAAACAAAAAGAAAACCTCTTACAACTGTTACTAATTTACGAGACACTGAAAATGCCTCTTACTTACTTTTACTTGTCATTAAAACCAAGTTCAAGGAAAGAACACTGGAGAGTATACTTACTATTAGTCCTTTACAAATTCCACTGCAAGGCACTGTCTGCCTCGGAAAGGCGTTTTGATACAGCTAACATGTTATTAATCTAAAGTTATATTTTTGTTATTTGGCCAAAACAAACTCATTTTACTTTGTTTTCAAACTTAGTGTACTTTGGAAAGAAATACACTTGCTTGAGAAATTGGAAACTGGATCAAGAAAACATACCTTTGGTTCGAGAAAGCACCCTCTGAAGTATCGATACTGCACTGATACCCCTCTACTGAGGACAATGGTTGCTTTCCATTGCCTGCTGGGAAGGGAGGGCAAACGAAAAAGGACAAGGTCAAAAGCAGCAGCAGCCCAATCAAACCCAAATATATACAAGTTTCATAATCCACAAGCCGCCTCAAGGTAGATCTGTGACATATGCCATCTATTCATTCCTCTACAAAGCCTTACTACGGGCCTACTCTGGACCAGGTGCTGGGGCACAGTGAGGGCTCGAGCGGCGGGAGCCCCAACTTCAGGATGCATTCTTCCTAACAGAGTGAAATAGACACACACCAAACCAGAAACCAGTGCAGAGCAAAGGAAGAAGAGCTATCAGGACTTTCTGATGGGGCAGGAAGGTTTTAGACCAGTGGTTCTCAACCTTCCTAATGCCACGATCTTTTCATACAGTTTCTCATGTTGTGGTGACCCCCAACCATAAAATTATTTTTGTTGCTACTTCATAATGGTAAGTTTGCTACTGTTAGAATTGTCATGTAAATATCTGATATGCAGGATGTATTTTCATTGTTACAAATTCAACAAAAAGAAAGCATAGTGATTAATCACAAAAACAATATATTAATTACATATTGTAAAATCTTTATTTCTAATGACAAATAAATGAACTTTTGTCTTGAAGCCTGGTGTAGCCTGGGTAACAGTCTTCACTCCGGGTGCTCTCATGTGGGCGCATATGCATGTGGGCGGACCTGCCTGCAGACGGATAGAGGAGTGGTGTTTGGATTCCTAAGATCATTGGAAATACATGTTTTCTGATGGTCTTAGGTGACCCCTGTGAAAGGGTTGATCGACCCCCAAAGGGGCCACGACCCACAGGTTGAGAACCAGTTTTTTGAGAGAAGACTTGACTGAGGGGGGGAAACACACACACACACACTCACTCACTCACTCACTCACTCACTCACTCATTCACTCACTCCAATCTGAGCTGAGAACTAAGTGGTGAGGAGGAACCAGCCATACAAACAGTCAGAAATACTCCAAACAGAAAGACAAAGGAGTTGAAAGGTGGGAAGACAGAGCCAGATCTTTTCTTGTATGCCATTTCCTTGGGATGTTAGGTGGCAGCTAGGAGGCATTGGGGACAAGGTCTACGTGTCAAGAGGAAGGGATGGGCATGGGCAGACTACACTCGGGGTCCTGATGCTCCTCACGCTAAGGATCCTGGCCCAACTGCTGCCCGGCCAGCCAGCCAGCGCGCATCTCCCATACGTCACTCTGGCCTTCCTAAAAAGGACAGCTTTGACTCAATAGCTGCCCGAGATGAAAAGATGCATTATAATTTATGAGCATAATTGATGTTCAACTTCAAACTATAAAACCAGTGGCATCAAAAGTACAGTCCCTGGGCCATCATCAGCATGTGGGAGCTAGAAATGCCAATTTTCAGGGTCCATCCAGACCAGCTGAGTCAGAAAAACTGGGGACATGGCCCAGTAATCTGTGTTTTAACCAGTCTCTGGGGACCCTGGCAGGCACTAAAGTTTGAGAGCCACTGTCGCAGACCATTTCACAAACACCAATTAAGTAGTTCAGAGTAAACAACAACTCGCATTTTGTTCTTTCAGGGTACTCAAGGGTAACCCCTAATCCCAGCCTGGCTCCACCAAGACATTCTCTCAATCTGACTCCATCATATTGGCTCTTAACAAAACAACTGCAAGGAGCTCGTCAACCAAGTTTCTTGCCCTTGACAATTAAGTGCATCTGGTCTTTTTGAAAATACTGATGTCTTGGTTCCCTTAAAGGAGACTTTAGTTTCACAGATCTCAGATGTGGGGCCTGCATGTGAAATTCGATATAACTTCATAGGACATTGAAAAATAAATGGCTGGTTAAGAATTGCTGCTGTAAAGCAAGAATAGCACATACTTAGCTTGTACCCTTTAGTCCCCAAACCCTTTAACACAAGGTTTCAGGTAGATTCTACCAACTAATAGTTAAAATTTGCCATCTCTGCTACAAAAAAAAAAAAAAAAAGGAAATTTCCAGTACTCCTTACTAATCTACAATTAGTTGGAGTGTACAACATTATGCCCACATCTACAGAATTAATAGGAAACTTTGAAAATGTATTGGAAAGTACCTCGTATCTGCTAATTCTCAATCTCCAGGAATAGCCTTTTGTTAAGTGCTGCTAAACAGTACCCACCCACAGCGAACCTCTGAACAACAGGACACGATCTGCCTGCACTGTGCTCCAAAGTCCGGCTGTGTCTGAGCTCTTGACCTCGGCTTCACCGAGCATGACATCCTTCTCTAGGGACTGGCACCCCTTGACTGTGTCCAAAATTCACGAGACAATAATTTCCTCTGGTCACCTTTGCTTCTATGGAGCATTCTCGCTGTACTTCTGGCACAGACCTGTTTGTTTCTCTGGTAATCCATGGTGTTCTTTTCATCAACAATGTAATTCAAGGGCATTGAATTCCTCCAGTCTCCCTTATTGCATGCATATGAGTCATTTGAAAATATCATGACTTGGGTCAGGCACTCGGTAGTCCTCAAAGTGACATCCTAGCGGTTTAGTATTTTAAAGAGATGGTGGCACAGTGGTTACGTGCTGCGCTGCTGAACGTCAAGGTCGGCAATTTGAAACTACCAGCCATTCAGAGGGCGAAAGATGGGACTTTCTACTCCTGTAAACAGTTACAGGTCTCAGAAACAGGGTAGTTCTATCCTTTCCTATAGAGTCTCTATGAGTTAGCACTAATTCAATGGTTGTGACATTGGGGTTTTTTTTTTGGGGGGGGGGGGCAGATTTTCCCAATGCAATACATAACTTGATATCTTGCCCACTGCTTCTATGAGAGTTGACTGTGGGCCCACCAAGTGAAATGAAATCTCTGGCAACTCCAATCTTTCCTCCATTTATTATGATGTTTCCATTGGTCTATCACCTTTTACAAATAGCATGATGCTGGGTGAAGAGCATACAGAAGGAAATGACAGGGGGTCACGTATGACCTCCTCTGACTACACAAAGGAGGAGACCCCAACTCCATGGCTGCCCAACGATGATATCTATGAGACAGAGGTCAGACATGTTCCAACCCTGCAACCTTTTCTAGCCCTACACAACACCAACTGTTCTCCTCCCCCTGCACTGTACTGCTCTTCTGGTTTCAATAATCCATTGCAATGACCATGTAGCACTCACTAACAATATCACCACAGATACATAATACTCAAGATTGTGAGGTCTGTGAAGGAAGTTATCAGTTTGCAAGTCAGGATCAGAAACATGAAGGATGCAGTTCTTCAGTACAAAGCACCACTTTTCAGCCAGGACGCCTGCAGGATCTTTTCTCTCTCATCCTTGGCCTCTCTGTCACATGACCCCTGGGCCTCTGCCCTGCTCAGTCAAGTCTTACAACGCTCCTTTACCACTGAAAGACACCCAAAAGGCACCACATTCTGCAAGTCAGCCTCCTGCCCAGGGGCACTACACTCATGGGCCACTTTGTCCTGTAGTCTCTTGTGGCTTCTCTGCAGAGATCCCAGCTGTGCTCCACTGTGACTTTTTTTATTGATGGTAGTGGGACTCTCCATCCCTGCTGCAGACACAGCTCACTGTATATATCCAATCGAATGCCCAAACTGAACAGTCCCCATGTTAGAACTCTCTACACCTCATTTACAAGGCCCCAGCCTTGATGGCATAGTGGGTTGCATATTGAGCCGTTAAACTGCAAGGTAAGAAGTTAGAGATCACCAGCCACTGCATGGGCAAACGTGATTTACAGACTTAGAAACCTATAGGGGCAGGTTTACTCTGTCCTCCAGTGGCACTCTGAAATGGCAGGGTTTGATTATTTTATTTTTTTAGCACATAATTTGGTGGTTGTTCCCAAGACTACAGATAGAACATGCTAAGTAACTCAACTGTGCAGCCACTTGCTTACTGCATGCAGTTGGCTCTGCCACCAGTACTTCTAGTTTACGTACCCAGTTCCATGAGTTGAATCTACATATAAAGCTCATGGATTCCTAGGAATGCTTAATTGCTCTAAGTAGTACTTCTAAATGCTTGGCTTGCTCTTGAGTTTTGTAACTCTCACATCATGAGTTGGTTTATTTATTTATTTTTGTTTTTGGACTAGCTCTGCTCCATGGTAAGTAGTGCTGCTGTAAAGAAAAATCGAATTTGAGCCTAAAGAGCCTTAATCACCCAGGTTAGTGTTTCTCCAGAAATAAAAGGGATGTATTTGTAGGTGATTTAAGATCTCTTTCCCCCTCCCCACGTATACTTCAACAACCGAAAGCATGCCCCAACAAATACCCAAACGCCAAGTGGGTATCACCTTTGTTGACATCTACTGCAAAAAGGTGACTGAAGCCTAGAGACAGTAATTCTGCCCTGGTAACTAACGAACTGACTGCCAGCCCCAGCTCTCCCTTCTCCCCGCTGGAGGCCCCAATACACACATGCTAAACGTAGCGCTACCCTTCACGTGGGCAGTGAACTCACGCCGCTGCTTTAGCCAAGAACCCTGAGCACACGCTGTTGTTCTTGTCGTTGGGTGCTGTCAAGTCAGCTCACGCATACGGACTCCTGCACCAAGGAGAGCCGTGACAGAGGACTCTCTGAGTTGTCCTATCTACCAGAGCAAGTCATCAGGTTGGTCTCCTGCAGGCCACTGGAGGGGTTCGAACCACCAATCTTTTAGTTAGTAGCCAAGCACTTAACTGTGTTATGCCACCAGAGTTCCTTAGGACATGTATTACTCGTTACTTCCAATGAAATCATTACTCAAAGAAAATAATTTTGTAAGCTAAAACCAAACAAATAATTAGATCTCTCATCCACAACATGCAGTAAGAAGCCAAAAAAGTAATGCTTAAACATTTGAAGATAGAAATCAGGAACATAAGCTTCTTCTTTAAAAAATGCTGGTAAATACCAAGGCGACAGCCCTTGTTTGACAGAGGAACCTGTGTTTCCACAACCAATGTTGTAAACTGAATTCGCTGTCCACACAATGTGCCTGTGCCAGCTTTGACAAAAGTTAAAATGAAAACAGAAACAAAAACCAGGGAACAAACAGAACAACAAAATATTTAAAAGTCTCTAAAATCGGAATGTCACAACTACCCTGTCACTTGATGATACATCCACGCTTACCTTTCACCTGTCTCATTCTCTGGAAGAAGAGTCACAGCATTTTGAGGATTCCAATTTCCCAAAGCATCACAGCTTCCGCAGATTGCAAACACTTCCCCTGTGGAAAGGGAATGGACAGTGACAGCTTGTTAAGTAGGAACGCCTTCATTCTAGGAGGCGAGAGCAGCAGTAAGCTGCACTAGTCTAAGCAGCTGCTCATTCACCAGAGATGGACTAGCCCCACTGGCAAGGTGTTGTTTGTGCCTAGGGGCCACACGAGAACCTGCGTTTTGAGCCACTAGGCAGAAGCAAAGCCAGGGAAAGGGCGAAGGCATGGGGGTGGCTTTTCCCACATCTGTTCAACATGCACGGAGGCAGTATCATGCATACGATGTTGACCATCAGGAATGCTAAGTGCTCGGGAGGGTTGGGGAGGCAGGGTAAAAAGAGGAGCTAATACCAAGGGCTCAAATAGAATGTAAATGTTTAGAAATATTGTTGACAACATATGTACAAATGTGCTTGATACAACTGATGCTATACGAGTTATAAGAGCCCCCAATAAAATGATTTATTAAAAATAAAATGCTAAGTGCTCAAAGTACAATTCCTGACTTCACAAATTAGCTTCACATTTTAATAAAGCAAACACTAAATGCAGACAAGCACTCCAGAGAAACTTTAACCAATACTTTCCAGGAATTCAAGTCATTTTTTAGCAAGCTAAAAGTTAAGAGAATAATCAATTGGACAGCAGCAATGTAACAGAAAAACTGAATCCAAAGATGTACATAGTGGAAATCATTTGTTTTTTCTCAGTAAAATAGTGACTATCACATCATCAGAATACTTATCAGTAGATCTGAAAAACCAGCATTGAGGCTTACAATTAAGATTATCCAAACATCTGGTCTGTATGTGGGTTCCAGAGAAAAAGATAACCTCTAAAACCCTGGAACATTCCCAGTGACTGAATGGTTATCTGGTTATCTATAAGGGCTGCGGAGAGAGCAGAGTTTATAGGTAAACTAATGAAGTGATTCAGGTGGAGGATGGCCAGGTCAGAAAGATGCAGGTCGATCAGCTGACTTCATGAGGAGGAGGCATGATCCAATCATTCTCATGTAATAATAAAGCAGGAGCCCTAGTGGTGCAGCACATGAGCATTCAACCACAGAAAGGGCAGGGGTTCCAGCCTTCTTGTCTATGACCAATTCAGTGACTTTACAGGACTGTGAAGAATTGTCCCCATGGGGTTCCCAAGTCTGTAAGCTTTACAAGAGCAAACAGCCCCTTCTTTCTCCCAGAGAGAAGATGATGGGTTCGAACCAACCTTCTGGTTAGCAGCTGAGCGCTTAACCATTACCCCCTCATGGCTCTAATATGTAAGTAGCTCCTCACCCCTAATCCCAGTAAAGGTCTGGACACAGAAGCTCCAAGGATTTCCCAGTTGGTAGTACAAATATCGATGCACACAGAAGGGTAATAAACCATAATCCCAAATACAGTGGTTTCCATTCTGGTGGACTATGGCATTCAAGGAAGTAGAGAGAGGCAACAAGTTAGAATTGAGAGAGCGTGGGAGGAATCCTAGTTAAGGCTGACTTCATGAGGGGTAGTATGGTGGTTCTCAACTTTCCTAATGCCGCCGCCCTTTAATACAGTTCCTCATGTTGTGGTGACCCCCAACCATAACATGATTTTCGTTGCTACTTCATAACTGTAATTTTGCTAAATTGAACATCATTAAATATAACTAAAGCATAGTAATTAATCACAAAACAATATGTAATTATATATTGTAAAATATTTGTGTTTTCCGATGATCTTAGGCGACCCCTGTGAAAGGGTCATTCGACCCCCAAAGGGGTCATGACCCACAGGTTGAAAACCACTGGGGGTATAGGATAGCCCCAAATTTGCAACCAGCAATCAGAGGTGAGAATGGCGTGGGGATCTGAATCTTGTTGATGGCCGCTGAAGTCTTGGGCAGACTTGGAAAACTGATGGGTTGTGTACCTTAACTTGAGATCTGATCTAGCTCAGGTAAATAGGCTTCACGGTAAAGTCTGTATGTATAGTCAGGAACTAAAGGGAATAGATTTCAATGCACTGAGTTCCCTTACAACACCAAACGAGAACCAACGGCTGTTGTGAAGTGCCATCAGGGCAATTACAATCTCAGAGGTCCGCAGTGTACAGAACAAAGCACTGCCTGATCCACGGTCACCCTCCCAATCGTGCTGGATCTTTGATGCCATTGTTGCTACCACTCTGCTACTCCTTCTCCTTGATGGTCTTCCCTGTTTTCACTCGCCCTCCACTTTACCAAATATGATGTCCTCCGCTAGGTTCTGGTCCTCCTGATAATATTTCCCAAGTAGAGGGAGCTTCAAAATTGGGTGGGGAAATGGAAAGGATAAGGAAAATTTCCCACAAACTTATGAAGCCTCATCTTATAGGCATAAAGTGTCCACATTCTCCCTCCTTCAAAAAGAGCATTCTGGTTGTACTTCTTCCAACACAAATTTGTTCTTCTGGCAGTATGTTTGATATTCTTCCAAACACCATTAATTCAAAGTCATATAGTTTCCTTTGTTCTTCCTTATTCATTGTCCAACATTTGCACACATAAGGCAAGTGAAAAGGCCTTGGTTTGGCTCAAGATGCGTCTTCAAAACAACATCTTTGCTCTTTAACACTTTAACAAGGTCTTTTGCAGTATTTGATTTCTTGACTGATTTCATAGGTGTTAACTGTAGATCCAGGTAAAATAAAACCATGGACAACTTCCGTTTTCTCCATCTCCCATGATCTTGCTTATTGGCCCAGGTGGGAGGATTTTTGTTTTATTTATGTTGAGGTACAGTCTTTAATCTCTATTAGTAGGTGATTCAAATAATGCCATAAATTCCCTAGTTGTAGTGTTTAATGTGTCAACCTATTTTTGAGATGGTCCCTAAATTCAGGTAGGATATACCTGACCAGCAAGTAGGTAGCATCATGAGAAACAGGAAAAAGGTGTGGAGGATTTCATCTTGCTTGAATCCACAATCAATGCTCATGAAAGTGTCAGTCAAGAAACAAAACGAAGCATTGCATTGGGTAAATATGCTGCACAAGACCTCTTCCAAGAGTGTTGAAAAGCAAAGACGTTATTTTGAGGACTAAGGTGCACCTCATCCGAGCAATAGTATTTCCAATTGCCTCACATGCATGTGAAAGCTAGACACGGAAAAAGGAAAACTGAAGAAAAACCAGTGCATTTGAACTACGGTGTTGGCAAAGAATACTCAAAGTACCAGGGTCGACCAAAAGAACAGATTTATCTTGGAAGAAGTATGGTAAAACTTACTTCGGACATATTCGTGTACGTTGGACATGTTATGAGGAGAGACCAATCCCCGGAGAAGAACTTCCATCTTGCTAAAGTGGAGAAGCAATGGAAAAGAGGAAGGCCCTCAATGAGATGGCTGGACACTGGGGCAACCACAATGGGTTCAAATATACAAATAATTGTGAGGAAGCACAGGACTGGGCAGTGTTTTGTTCTGTTGAGCATACGGTCACTATGAGTTGGAACTGACTCAAGGACACCTAACAACAAAAACAACATGCTCAAGGTCTTCCTACTTTGGTTCTTATAGACTTGTTTTATTTCTCTTCAGCTTTACCTTGAAGTTACACATAAGCAATCGATGGTCTCTTCTGCAGTTGCTACATGGCCTTGTTCTAACATATTGCACATCTCCATCTTCTCTTCCAAAGATCTGATCGATCTGATCCCAATGTGTTCCATCCAGGAGGATTTATGTACATAGTCATCATTTATTGAAAAAAAAATTACTTGCAATGAATAAGTAAATGGTTGGTCTCCCAAAACCCTATCGCGTGGTCTCCAGTGCCATTTTTATAACCAGCCATATTTTCCAGCTACATATTGTTCTGTTTCCAGTGCTCCCGTTCCAATCACCAGCAATTATCAATACATCTTGAATGCATATTTTAGAAGTATCACAGAGATATTGGTTAAAATCTTCAATTTCTTCATCTTTGCTATTAACTGGTTACACATGAGTAATAGTTGTATTAACTGGTCTGGTTTTCCTTGTGGTGGTATTGATACTATCCAATTACTGACAGTGTTGTTCTTGAGGATAGATCTTGACATACTTTTAGACAATGAACATGATATTGAATCTCTTTGATTTTCATTTACTTTTATATTTCTGGCATAGCAGACTGTGTGGCTGTCCAATTCTAAATGACCAATGTCTACTCCAGCTCACTATGCTTAGGATAAAGATCTTTATGTATTCCATTTCACGTTTCAGGACTTCAAATTTTTGTACATTCACACTTCATACTTTCCATGTTTTAATTATTAATGGATATTTGCAGCTATTTCTTCATTTTGAGTATTACCCCATCAGAAAATTAAGGTTTTATTCCATGCACATCTTTAAGGCTGAGCCTACTTTAAGGAGACAACTCTTCACCATTATCAAAATAATGTTCCACTGCTATTCTAAAGGTTTATACTGCCCCCCCCCCCTTTTTTTTTAAGCAGATCATTGGGCCAGTGCTTCTTGATCATCTGTTTTAATCTGGAAGCACTGTTGAAAGAATCCCAACATGGATGACCCAGCTAATATTTAAAACACCCTTGGCATAGCTTCCAACACATATGTTAAATGTGATATTATTTAGAAGGCCTGTAACTTCTTAGATAAAAGAACACAGGAGAGTCTTTGACTCATAAATGGCACGTGCTGAATATATTTATATACTTATGTATACACCAAGTTTTTCAGCACACTTTTATACAGTTTTGTGGTAAAATTAGATGCCTCAGCTGATATTCGGGTCGGCTTATACTCGAGCATATAAGGCATACAGTTAAAACGAGTTGGTGCCAATTGTAAAGCATTAGGTGGACACTTCCACATTCTGAGTCCAGCTTGGCTTTGGGACTTTATGTGCAGCTCTAGCAAGACTAGATTAGGCATCGGGCTGCTAACTGCAAGACTGGTGGTTCAAATCCAACAGATATTCTTTGGGCAAAAGATGAGGGTGTCTGTTCCCATGAAGACGTAACAGGCCCAGAAATCCTCTATACGATTAACTATGAGTTGGAATAAATTCAATGCGGGTGAGTTGGGTTTCGGTTTAGCCATCTGCATGACTATGTTGTCAGCTCACATCTGAAACACAGTTCAAAATGTGCTGTTACTCAGAGTTTCTGAAAGCATATATGTGAAATATATGGTGGATAGATACATGGATTTCATGTAAAAATATCCACCAATCCAGTAGAATATGTGTGTATGTAATTAACTTAGTCTAATCCAATAAGTGTTTGCATAACCATTTCTGATTTTTTTTTTAATGGTAGAACTAAATACACAATAAGGCTGCCGAGTCCACTCCAACGCACGGGGAAGTGACTTGTGGGACAGGGTGGAAGGGCTCCTCTAGGATTTCTAAGAGGCTGTAATCTTTCTCCCTCAGAGCAGCCAGTGGGGCTTAAGTGCCAACCTCCCAGTTAGTGCTTCACCACTGCTCCACCGTGTTCCCTTCGCAAAGAGCAGAGGGATCATAAAATAGCGGATTTGGGCCCATTATATTTCTACTTCTCAAAATAAAGTCGCATTAAAACATGGAATCAGTTATTGCATGTCCCACACAATCAGCAGGCTACGTTTTGTTCTGAAGATAACACAGTGCCCAAATGGGAAAGTAAAACTGGAGGTGCAGCAGTCCACTTCCGTACTATACAGGTATGTCTGCGTTCTACCAAGCGCCTCCTGCAAAACCACTCGGGCTTTTGCCCATTCCCTTTGAATATGGCCCCTTTGAGGAAGAAAGAAAACTGTTCTTACCAGGAGGAAAAGATCTTTTTAATTAGTACTCATTTATGAGAGACTACAAAAACTAGAATGCTAACTAGAAAAAAAATTGCCAACAGAACCCCATCTGCTCTTTAAAAAAAAAGGAGTGAGCTTCAGAAACTTTGTGGAATGGAATTCTTCCATGAACTGTCTCAAAACCCCTTGTACACCTTTTTTTTTAAGAGCAGTATTATGTTTACCAAACAAAAGAAAAACTGTGCAGAGAGTAACATTTTCCCATGTCCCTCCTGCCCTCTTCATTTGCCCCGTCTATGAATTAGATGATGTTGCCTCACTCCCCCAAACTATGCCCGGGGCTCCTCACCAAGCCCTGTGTCCGCCACCTAAAACAGCTTTTCTCTGCTATCCACAGAGGCCATGTTCGAATCGCAGGTGCACTCAGAAGAGCGTGGGCACCGAGAAAGGAGCACCGAATGAGGGAGATGAACACCACGGGCACCATGACTCAGACTCCACTTGCAGGCTGAGGTGGGAGGGACACCACGAAAGAATTACCAAACGCCAGGGTTTCAGCAGCTGAACGAGCACTAAACCCTATAGCCAGTGCTCTGGTGTCGGACGTTTAGCATCCTGACCTGTGAGAAAATATCATTTGTATTTTTTAAAACCACCCATTTGAGAGTAATCCTCACCTTGCTTATTAGCGCTATGTAACATAATTCCCACAGGTTACCCAAGGAACAGGACGCTGGTGCAGGATGTTGGAAGATAAACACCTCCTACACGCCCCTACTTCACCTGTATTTCCCTCCCTGATAATCTGTCTTTGGGGCCCTTTAATCCCAGGGAAGTATCCCATCACAGCAACCAAGTGTGATGGTCAGGTCCAGCGAACATACACAGAAGGAACAATCACTTCCTTCGGGTAGTCAGTCCCCCTTTGGCACTTTGGTCATAAGGAACAGAAGTTGCCAGAAAGACATCACCAGACCAACTCAGAAGATACTTGAAAGCAAGGGGTCCAGTTAGACATTTCCTGTCAAGAAACTCCGGGCACTCTCCTTTTGGTCAAGGAGTCTGCCTGGGTGACTCTACTCCAGACTTGGTCTTTGCTTGATGAGGCCAAGTAAAGCCCCCCCGCCCCCCCCTTTCGCTCTCATTCCAGGGAGGCCTGGGTGGGTAACAGTCAGTGTTACTGTTACAGCAGCAAAAGCAAACCAAGGCATACTCTTTTTTCCTATCATTTACATCTTTCATTGGTGTGTCACACACTCCTTTAATTGTTCCCTCTTTTCGCCTCAATGGCTCCCATTTCGCCTTGGGATCCCTACTCTCTTCCACATTCAGAGACAAAATGTCTTGCTACTGTAGAAAGCCGAGGTGATGGGAGATGAGGGAGGAGTCCCCCTAACTTCTCCTGTCTCTCCACCTCCTTCTTCCCTAACATCCACATGCACCAGGTCTCCTTCCCTCTAGTCTGAGAATGAGTGTCCCTCTCTCAAGCTGACCTTTTGTGTCCAAACCTGTGCTGGGTCTAGTCACCTGACACACACAGCAAGCGCCTTCTGGCTAAAGCTGCCTTCCTGCAACTCCCTAAAGGGGGTACACAATAACCTTGCCATCCTCTCTGCACAGAGGCGGCCTTGTTTGACTCCAAGGAGGCAATCCAGGGACTGACTACCAATCTTCAACTTGAAGACTCCCGTGCAGAGATGGAGCTACATCGTACCAAACCACCTCTGCTAGGGACTGGAACTTGAACATCTGGACACCTGGATACATAAGCATATACTGATCATTGGGTTGGTTGATAGAAATGTTAACAATGAGCTACTCATTCATTCTTTGAACACATGTACTCAGTTTGATGGTCTGGATTCACCCAGCAATATGTTGGAAGAAAGGCCTGGTGATTTCCTGCCATCAAATTAATAAAAACAAAAGACATTCCCTGCCCTTGGAGCAATTCTGACTCGGAGCGACCTGACAGGACAAAGTAAAATTGATTCTTTGGGTGAGCGAGACTGTAACCCTGGTGGTTTCGAACTGCTGTTCTTATGGTTAGCACATGAAACCCTCTACAGCCAAGAAAATGCTGTGGAGTGCAGCTTTACTTTGAAGCACAAGAGGTCTCTGCCAGCATGACAAATTTGGTATCGACAGGTTGTTTACATCCAGTCTATTAAACAAGGAGGTATAGAGCCCGGGTACACACTTGTTCATAGCCAATTCCATTAGCTTAATCATGAGACTGTGCAATGAAATTTTAATTTCCCAATGGGGAAAATATACTCACAATGAGTACAAGAAGAAAATGTTCTACAATTGATGGCGGGAATGACTGGACAACTCTTGATATGACTGAACTTTTGAATTAAAGAAACTTTAAAAAATAAAAGGGAAAATAATTATACCACTATAGTGATACTGCTGTGATGTGCTATATATTGCACTAACATTATTTCACAAAGTTTTAACATATAACAGAAAATTCAAAAGAAAAATATTAAGCAAACCATAGTAGTAAAGTGGTTCCCCAACTTCATGCACCCAGTAAAGTGCCCCTGTTCTTACAACCATAGCCTAATCAGATTTGTGCTGCCCCAGTTTAAATACACTCAGTTCTCTTGCGAAGATATGAGGATAAGACACAATTTGTGGAGGTCCACCCTCACCCCCCACTGAGCTAACTAGGTCCTGAGCACATTTCTGCCACTTAGGCATTCTGACATGTGGAAAAGATCTAAAGGCAGTCACTTAAAATTTAGGCTTGGTCTAATAACAACTCCATATTTCTGGTCACCAAATCAACTTTTTAAAATAAATAAACAAATAAGCTTTACAATACCTGGTGAAAGAGTTCCTCTTATTTCAAAGGTAACCTGAGAAGGTGTCATTCTGAAGACTTTGTATTTAAATGCCGTGCTACAAAAAAAAAAGAAGGAAAAATGGTCATTTACTCACAGTACATGAAAATATCGGTACTAGGTAACTACCCTCACGAACCACGTTCAGGAGCAAATGAATCTCATTGTGAGAAGATATTCACCTCAGAGGCACATACACCCAGGCGCCTCAGTGGTTCAGCAGTACAGCACTCAGCTGCCAACTGAAAGGATGGCAGTTGGAACTCGCTAGCCACCTGGCATGGAGCCCTGGTGGGGTAGTGACTACAGGTTGGGCTCTGATCCACAAGGTCAGCAGTTTGAAACCATCAGCTGTTCCTTAAGAGGAAGAGAAGGCTTTCTACTCCTGTAAAGAGTGAGTCTCAGAAACTCACAGGGACGCTCCTACTCTGCCTTAAAGGGTCAGTATGAGTCAGTAGTTACTAGATGGCTTCCCAGCAGCAGTTGTTTGTATAAAAATGTGTGTGTGTGAATAAATATATATGACACAAAACTATTACAAAATTTAAAATGTGTTTCCTTTTAAAGCATCATTGTCATCACAGTGTCCCCTCTGATATCCAGCTGTTTCTAATCTAGGGTGACCAGATGTTAACACTGGTAAAGCGGGACACCATTGATCAAACTCATATCCTGGCGAAATAGCCACATGGCAGCCGAAAACCGTATACCCTAGTTTGTCGTGCATTCTTTCCAAAAATCGGACCTTTTAAAAACGCCGCGGGACGTGGGAAAATTGTTAAAAATTGGGACTGTCCCGCCAAAAGCGGGACGTCTGGTCACCTTATTCTAATCCACCCTTTCTGATGACGCTCATGCCATGGTGAAGGGAAGAAAAACAACTGCAGTCAGGAAGCCACTTGGCTCAAAGAATTTCTACTTTCATAGTTGAGATATCAGTTGAAACAAATAAAGGGCTTAAGTATTGCTCGTTGAAACAAATGAGCTATAATCTGCAACAAGTTTGAGAATCCACTTCTAAGATACAATGTAACTATCAATCCCTTAAAGTCCTCCTGCCCACACAAAGACAGACTCCTTTCAGATTTTCTCTAAGTAGCCCACATCATCTCCCCCACTGCCTTCCCAGCCACTCCTTACTCCATGTGGGGTTTCTGAGACTCCATATGTTGCGGAACCACAGACCCTCATGTTGCTTTCTCAGAATGGCTGATGGGTTTGGATCACCCCCATCCCTGGGTTAGCAGTCCAATGCCTAATGCACAGCACCACCAGGGCTCCTTAGATCAGCTTTAGGGCCCCCATTCCTCCAGGCCCACAGGCTCAAGTTAAGAGGCGTGGTTCTTTGACCAGTTTGACCACAATGCTGATTCATCGGGTGATCCTACATCCCTCTCATCCCAAATGACCAGCTGCGCTCAAAGCCCTAAATCTCCTACTTACATTTTAACTTCAAATATTTTCATACATTTCAGGATGATTTGAATATTCTTATCCATGCCGCTAACTTGGAACCACTTTGGTTACTTACAGAACTCTAACCCCCAAAGTCTTTGAGTTCTTTTACCCCTAGTCCGCAGTTTCTCCTTGCTAAGATTTCCATTCCTGTCTTTCCCAATCAAGGGATCTATTTGTCAACATCTAACCAAAGTGCCTATGGCAGGAAGTGGATAAAGCAAATACAATATACCAATTCTCAAGAAGAGTAGGTCACTTAAGTAGAGAAAGAATATATACTCCAACCGAGGGCACAGCATATTCTATGTGCGGTAACTTCTCCAAACCCGGTGCTACCTACTTGACTCCTGGGGTGCTCCGTGTGCTGCAGAGTTAGCACTGTGACCTCTCAGAAGCTGCCCACCAGGCTTGTCTTCTGAAGGCCCCGGGGGGATTGGAATAACCAATCTTCTGGTTAGCAGTCGAGGCACCACCCAGGGACTCCATAACATCTCCAACTCCTTCAAAACACACCCTCACTGCCATCCACCAGTGTTTTTAAAAGAATTCCTCTTCATCATTTCTAAGAATTTACCCAATTTAAATTTTATTTGCATTTCTACATTATTTTTAAAAATCCTAAAGTAACTTGCAGAGCTAGTCAACCATCGATCCCCCTCCCCCCCGTTGCTCCCTCCCTATCCTCCTCACGCAGCTTGGCTCTGCAGTGGTCCTTTTCTGAACACTGCCCACCCTCGGTTAACTGACAAGCCGTAGTCAAGGTGGGGAGATCAAGAGTGGCGGTTGTCACACAAGGCAATTCCCAGCCCACAGCCATTTCCCCGAGGGAGCTGGTGGCGGTTGGTGACAAATTGAGCTGCAGACAGCAAGGGCAGCCATTCTAAACCACCAGCGGCTCAGAGGGAGAAAACAGCAGCTTTTTATTCCCATAAAGAATCAGTATCAGAAACTGCACAGGGCAGTTCTACCCTGTCCTTCAGGGTCGCTCTGAAATCAGCATCAACCCTGGGGCAGAGAGTTTGGGGTGTTCCGCCCCATCTACAGGGCATGACCAATGCCTGGAGACATTTGTAGCTGTCACATAGTGGAGGGAATTCTGGACATCCTACTCTCTCGCTGATTCCTCATGTCCGCAGAGGCCAGGGGAGAACTGCTCCTGTGAGTTTCGGAGACGGTAACGCTTTACGGGAGTAGAAAGTCTCATCTTTCTCTCGTGGAGGGGCTGGTGGTTTTGAACTGCTGATCTACGCAGCCCAATGTGTAACCATGCTGCCACCAGGGCTCCTGATCCTGTGCACCAGCCCGCCACCAGTAATCCAGGACCAACCAACCCTCAGCAGTGCTAAGGCTGAGACACAGAGTCTGTGAATGCTGTCTATGGGGTTGGGAGAAGGGAGGGCGATGACGAGTAAGGAAAATGTACACCTTGGCACATTTTCATCAGTGATGAAATGTGAATGTTGAATATACACCCAACAAGGGCATCCGTTAACATGGCTTTGCGTGACCATGTACTGGTACCATTCCAGTTAGAAAACCTAATATTAGGTGCTGGAGCGAAACCTATCTTTGATCCAAATAATTTCTACAACACTTTAGTCTACTTTCTGCATCTTAACGGTGAATACCATCTATTACAAAGCACATACATATAAGTGTATCCAGTAGTGCCCGGGGAAAAAAAAGCCATCTAAATCCCCAAACAGCTCTCAAACCTCATTCCTGTCACCACTGTGTGGTTGGTTACTTAAATATCTTGTGGTCAACAGCCCAGTGCCTACCCATTATGCCACTGGACTCCCTCTTACCTGAATCTCTTAATAGTTCTTTAATAGGGCATGTAGTGATAAATTTTCCTTTTTCTAAAAGAGAAAATGAGTCCCGGACCATTGTCATCATACAGTTAATTTTAAATATCTATATTACATTAAGCAAAAAGTCATAAGGCTGGCAACAACAAAACCCTTACACTCTGAAGTGGCTGCATTACATAATTTTAAGAGACAGCAGAACAGCACCATCATGCAGCATGACTGCGGAATAATCGGCCTCAACCCATGACTTGTACCGCCATCCAGTGTTGACTGCTGCAGTACCCAACTGCCTCCTCCATGGGGCCACGGGGCAGGCGCTCAACGATTTGCTGATTGATTTAAAGTAACTATTTTGCCAATTGGGAGGGAAATCAGATATAACCATTCCTGCAGTCTAAAATTAACCTCTCAGTTTCTACAGCATGAAGGCAAATGGGGAAATTTATCTAAGGGCTATCTAACAAACAGGGAAATCAACTGATTTTTAAAATGCGGGTCACTCAGAGTTAAGGTTGCTTTTAACAGTGGCTACAATAATTTGATTGTGAATGGCTGAACTCACAGCCATAAAAATCCCTCTCCAAATAGAGGAAAGAGCTGGGAGGTATAGGGCATTTATAGAGGTCTAGATAAAGACATGTACATATGCAAATATATTTATATGAGGGTGGGGAAATAGATCTATGTGCCTATATTTATAGGTTTAGTATTAAGGTAGCAGAAGGACATTGGGCCTCCACTCAAGTACTCCCTCAATGCAAGAATACTTTCTTCTATTAAATTGGCATTCTATGATGCTCACCTTCCTGACACAACCTCTGAAGACAAAGCGGGTGAATAAGCAAATGTGGGGAAGAAAGTTGATGGTGCCCTTTATCAAAAGATATAGCATCTGGGGTCTTAAAAGCTTGAAGGTAAACAAGCAGCCATCTAGCTCAGAAGCAACAAAGCCCACATGGAACAACATATCAGCCTGTGTGATCACGAGGTGTTGAACAGATCACTGAAGACAAGTGGGTGCATAAGCAAATGTGGTGAAGAAAGCTGATGGTGCACAGCTATCAAAAAGTATAGCGTCTGGGGTCTTAAAGGCTTGAAGGTAATCAAGCGGTCGTCAAGCTCAGAAGCAACAAAGCCCACATGGAAGAAGCACACCAGCCTATGCAATCACGAGGTGTCGAAGGGATCAGGTATAAGGCATCATCAGAACAAAAAATCTTACCATAGTGAATGATGGGGGGAGTGCGGAGTGGAGACCCAAAGCCTATTAGTAGGCCACTGGAGATCCCCTTGCAGAGGAGTCTCCGGGAGGAGATGAGCCAGTCAGGGTGCGATGTAACAACGATGAGAAATACAACTTTCCTCTAGTTCCTAAATGTTTCCTCCCCGCTCCCACCACCATGACTCAAATTCGACCTTGCAAGTCTGGCTAGACCAGAGGATGTACACTGGTACAGATGGGAACTGAAAATACAGGGAACCCAGGGCCGATGATCCCTACAGGACCAGTGGTGTGAGTGGCGATACTGGGAGGGTAGAGGGAGAGTGGGTTGGAAAGAGGGAACCGATTACAAGGAACTATATGTGACCTCCTCCCTGGGGGACGGACAACAGAAAAGTGGGTGAAGGGAGACATTGGACAGGACAAGATATGACAAAACAATAATTTATAAATTATCAAGGGCTCATGAGGGAGGGGGAAGCGGGGAGGGAGAGGAAAAATGAGGACCTAATGCCAGGGGCTTAAGTGGAGAGGAAAAGTTTTGAGAATGATGAGGGCAATG